ATACACAGCAGAGAACTCAGTGGCCCATGGAGCTCCAAGGGATACTGATCGGCCTGAACTCCGACAACCTCTGGCACTTGAAGTTTGGCAAAATCTGACCAAATCTGGTAATGGAGTGTCTAAGATCACTGTACTAACCAATGGACCGTTGACTAGCTTAGCTAAGATCATCTCATCAGATAAAAGATCATCCTCACTAATCAAGGCAAGAACTGTCTCTTAATTACTCTGTCACTCATAAATATTCATTAAGATCCGAGATTTAATATTAATGCTTGTAATGTAAAATGCAGGAAGTTTACATCGTGGGAGGACATATAGACCGTGAGAAATCAGAAAAAGGGAACATCTTCACGGTTCCATTGAATGTAGACGCCGAATTCAATATGTTTCTTGATCCTTCAGCAGCTAAGACCGTTCTTGAATCCGGTTTAAACATCACACTCGTCCCTCTAGCAACCCAACGCAAGTTGACTTCTTTTCAAGAAATGCTTAACTATTTCTCGGAGAAAACACCCGAAGCTCGGTTTGTGAAACGGCTGATTGCTAGACTGCATGCTCTCCATCATAATCACAGGAGATACACACACATGGTAAAGCTAGCCTCCTCTATTGTGATTATGTTTGTTTTTTTTAAGTTATAATAGTGTGTTTTCAAACTAACTCTAAATTGTTATTGCAGGACATGTTCTTAGGGGAAATTCTAGGAGCAATTTTAGTGGGAGGTGATCACGCTTCGTTGAAGCCGAAACTGCGACCTGAGCACATTAGAGTGGTCGCTAAAGAGGATGAATCAAAAGATGGTCAGATATTAGTCGACAAACAGCTCGGAAAAGAGATAAAGACACTCGAAGGAGTAGATTTAAGAGGCTGTTACGAGAGTTTTGCTTCTAGACTCGATGATAAAAAACAATCTGCAGTCATAGGAAGCTTTGAAGAACAAAAGAAGAAATGGAACTCACCACCACAATGAGAACGCCACCAATAAGCCATGCTCTATGTTTTGATTTGTTTAGTGCCAGAAGGCATAAGCTTAAGGACTTAACAAATCAAGTAATTATTATGAGTGATTCTTTCCATTAATAAAGTAAGGTCAAGAAGTATCTTTTGCTTTATGTTAAACACTTTCTATCACTATGGACCAAAACTCAAGTGGATTTTGACCAAAGTCACCAAACTGAATCATCAAACTCCAATATAACAAAGCACGTTTACCTTTTGTTTATCATATAATTTACGTCTTTCGTTTCTTCGTTGTTTTGATTTAATAATTATAATCATATATATATATAAATACCTTAAAAAAGAGATTGTGTTCCAAATTTTACGATAATTTGTTCTTTACAAAGCTTTCGCCTTTCGTCCTAAAACTGGTTCTAGTTAAGATACCATTCTAAAAGGTTATTTTAATTTATACTAAAATTTGTGGCAATTATAATAAGAAAAAAAATGACAATAAACATTACATATAGATTATACTATGCGAAATTAGTTATCTAATATTATATATATATATATATATACACATTTATGCACTTATGTGTTGGCTACGAATATTTAAACTCAAAACTTGTCAATCTTTGTATTCGAGAGCATATATGTACATCTAGGTTAAATAAATCGTTTACTTAATTACCCATGCAAATTTTAGAATTTCTAAAGAATGAGAGGATTCGTAAATCATAACAGGTATAAGTATAACAGATTAAATTAAATGTTAAAGCTAATTTGAACCTTTTTCATTTCAGTACCACATCTAGTTTGTAGTGATGCGAAGCATGCATAGTTATGCCCAACTCGGCATTTTTATGTATACCTTTTAAACAAACTCTCCTCTGGAAGAGATAATGTGGGGACCTCCTCCTTTCGACCTAGAAAAGTACAACATTTTAGCTATTGTTGAGGTGGGCTATCTAAAATTAAAGTATTCGATATACATAAGAAGAGTAATTTATACAACTCTTTTCCCCCTTAAATAGATCAAATGAGATTGTATAGAGAAAACATATTTATAACGATCAAGGTAATAAAATAATCAAAGTTCCAATATGTAGATTCTGGAAATGGTCCATATTCATTAAGCTAGTGTTCGACACGCCTGATATTTTTAAGACCATCATTTCATTGTTGTCCAATTTATTAATATGGAATGGTCCCTTCACCAATGGAGTTTTGAAAACGGCTGATAGTCCAAGTGCATGATAGTCCAATTTATTAATATGAATATGAAAACTGGGTTGGCTAGTTTTTCTGGATAAAAAAATAATCAAAGTGAACAAAATAAATAAATAAATACATAACAGAAAGTACGAAATATACCTAATTCATTATATAAATTAAGATAAAACATATTTCTTCCATTTTACAAAAGAATGTGGTTCTATGTTTCTAATGTGATTTTTTTTCACGCTTAATTCATATTTTACACGATTATTACTAGGGAATGAGAAATGAGAATCATAGGTTTGCAAGCCACATATGTAACCCATTCCAAACAAAGAGATTAAGTATTCTAAAAATAATGTTTCAAATTTTCCATTAATCTGCATGAAATGTGTTAAAACAGAAGGAATACAAAAGAACAAAAAAAAAGAGGTAATGGTCCCTTCGAAATTAAACATCCAATAAAATTGGGACGATATACAGAATCGAGAAAATAATAACTACAATTTGCTTTGGCAGCTATGTACGTACTCTCCAAAATACTACAATTAATAAGAATCGAGATACGTCATATTTTCACGTGACTATTGAAGTCAACACTTTTCTCCAATCTTAGATTTGATTTGATGTCGAGTGTCGACAGTGGTGGAGACTAGTCAAACCAAAAATATGTCGGAGCAATCTTCTTCTTTGTTTACAACGGAGCAATCAACTAATTAAAAACACTAACATATACAGTATATATACTGATAAACACTTATACACACAACCATTTTCCTTGTAATTAAGAACTTATCTAATTTTGTTTTCTATCGTTAGTAGATTCTAATTAAAAAAAAACTTTATAATCTTTAATCACAAGTTGTAACTTTTTTTACCTTTTATTTTTCCTCAAACCATCTTTGATAGCGGATCCGCATCTTTTTGTTTGACTTAAGAGAGAATATTTTAAAGTTAAGGAATGCACCCACCAGTTGGAAATTAACATTTCAAATATAGTTGATGATTTGCCGATCTCGTTGTAACAATATCCATTCACATCTTAGAAAAGAAATGTTTTTTTTGGGGGGAGAAATTGTAACCCACAAATCTATACATATATTTTTTAACCCACGCTGCCACACATATATACGGTCCACACAATCGAAGAAAATTATTTGTCATGTTTGTCAGTGACTATTTTAATGTTTCACTTCTTCTAAACTATTAATGTATATCTTTTTTTTTTTTTTTTAAGTATGGATCTTTGGAAGATTGTTTGGATAAATCGACCTATAAGTAACTTACGTGAGATGAAAATATATATGATTAGGATAACGACTAAAAAATAGATGTAATGTCTTTCAAAAACACTCTAATTAATATAATGCTCAAATTAAAAGAGACTTAGATAATTTTCTATTCCAAGCAGATGTATAGAGAATGATCTTGTGTTCATACGTGTCTTAGTCTAATTGGGATTTCGAATCCCTTTCTAATTGACATGACAAAGTATTGATAAGGTTATACCTTTCAATTAAAGATAACGGTTGTCGAGTCTCATATCGGATATCGTCACTAAACAATGAGCGGTTGGTTAGTGAGATTTGATGATGTGAATCATGTGATCAATAACTAGACTGACATGTGAGTTATAGAGGCATGCATGTTTGAAGGTTCGACAGGAAGTAGCTATAATGCCCATAGTATATGACTATTTAATGTGTGCTTCCTCGCACACTAAATGTTCTCTTAACTATACGAGATTCTAATACTAAAACAAATCACCCTTTAAATTTATATTTAAAAGAAATATTTAAATATTAAGAGTTAATATTGCCCTCACATGCTTCATTCTCTAGTATATTTGAGTTTTTATAAAGGAGTTCGTGTATTATTATTTTCAACCGTTAGATGTCACTAATGACGTCTTTTGAAAGAAAGGAGAAAATGAGTTTTTTGTGCATAGATGTAGAAATGACAAAATTTTGACCAACGACTTTGAGGAAAGAATGCGGGCGAATGTATTAATTTAGACCATATATATAGAAGAAACTTATTTTTGAAATCTAGCCATGTTTTTCTCTCTTCGTCCATATTGTTTGTTTTTCTTTTGCTCAGCAACCAAGCCATAACCGGTATTATTAAAATAAGAGAACAAATCAATTTTAAATACTTTAAGGGGAACGTTCAAGACACATTCTAAGAGAGTTGACTAATACTAACCAATAAGTTTCCGTATTTTCAAGTTTTATATGTAAACAACTTTTTATTACTATCGATTATTGTCCCTCCTCCTCGGCCCTCGCCAACTACATCTCTCATTTTTCTTTCTGCCTCTCTCTCTCTCTCTCCCTCCCTCCCTGCATCTGCACGTAGTCAGTATATCTTTTTCTCCTTCCCCTTTTTGTTTTCAGGCAAGTTTATCACAGAAGTATTAATGTAAGCCAAAGCTTTTTACTCTCCTCATAAGAAACAAAACTCTAAAGAAGAAGACGTTTTAAAAAACAAAATTCTGATGACACCATAGAACTCTCATCTTTTGCCTTTCTCTTTTGTTTTTTTTTTTTTGTGTGTGTGTGCATAGAGAATAAAGGCCAGTCTCCTTTGAGCTGGCTCGTTACAATATCCAGACACAAAGGAACCATTTTTCTGAAAATCTTCTTACCTTTTTTTCTCTTTTGTTCTCATTGATTTTAGTTCAAGTAATGGTTTCTTGATTTGATCCTTTTCGAGTCTCTCCCGTTTATTTTAGATTTAGAAAAGAAACAGAATACCCAATCTTTCTTTTATCTTCTTCCTCCTCTTCCTCTCTTTCCCTGTATCCATCTTTGTGCTTTTTCTTCTTCTTTTAAAAGATGTTGATGATGAGCCCAACTTTGAGGAGTTTATGGTTCTTGTCCACCACAGTCGTCACTATTCTTGGACTCTTAGGACAAAACCTCCCCTGCGTTTTGTCTAGCCCACACCGTATTCTGGTGGATACAGATGTCGACACAGACGATTTATTCGCTCTACTCTACCTCTTGAAACTCAACAGATCAGAATTCGATCTAGTCGTAAGCCCATTCCTTTTTTCTCTGTTTTTCAGTTTTCTTTCATTTCAGCTAACCAATCTCTGTTTATTCAAAACAGGGGATTACGTTGAGTGCAAATGCGTGGACAAACGCAGGACACGGAGTGAATCATTTGTACGATTTATTGCACATGATGGGTCGTGATGATATCCCAGTTGGTGTCGGCGGCGAAGGTGGGGTTCTCGCCGACGGTACTATCCTCTCTGACGTCGGTGGTTATCTTCCGATCATCGAACAGGTTCTCTTTTTCTTCCTCTTCTTCTTCTTAGTTTTTTTCTCTCGAATATTTGTATGAGTTTAGGTTAAACTGTAAGTAAAAATATTTTGTCTAGGGGATGACAACAACAGGAGAGTGTAGATACAGACAAGCCATTCCTAAAGGGTCTGGAGGCCTACTTGACATCGACTCCAATTATGGCTTTCGTAAACAGTTTCTTCCTCAGGTATTTTATTTTCTTTTATTTTGTTGCTATAAGTTGATAAGTTTTCAGAAATCTTAACATTCATACCAAAAAAAAGTTTTCAGAAATCGTATACATGTAGTCGAAAAAAAAAGTGGAAATTTCTTTTATTTTTTTACACTTCCAAAAGTATTTGAAAGAAAATTCATATTTTAAAATAAAAATTCATAATTAATTTACACTTATATGACAATTTTCACATAAATTAACTGAAAATATTATTTATTTATTTTTAACTGTAAAACAGTAACGTGTTGACCACAACCATTATTTGCTACACTGACCTTGTTCTTTAACCCAAAATAAAAACACTGATCTTATTAACTAAACTAACAATATTAATAGCGTTGGTTATAAGAAACTACAAAAGCATCATTAAAATCCTATCGCAACGCACCAACTAAGCTACTTTAATCGCAACCACCATTTAGAATCTTATAAATTGTCAAACTTAATTTGTGACACACTGACACTTTGTGTTGGTATCTCTCGTCTGCAACACGTGTCGCTAGAGTCATGGTACTCGTGGTTGCAATAGAAGTATCTGACTTGTATACATCCAAAAACTTGTCGGCTACTAAAAGATTCAAGCCTAGCTAGTAGTGATATATATAATTGCAGGTTTAGGATCAATCGTGACATTATGACATATTGATCATAGCATAGGAAGGACTGACGTGTAAATGGAACAATTTAAAATTATCCTTTTTTAATGAAAGACAAGAAAATGCTGGTAAAGTTTATTGTCAAAGTGATCGTTTTTAGAAGTTCACAGTTTGTTAAGTACTGAAATTATAAGACTTTCTAATTTGAAGAAATTTTATAAGTGGTTGGTTTATGTTTTTGTGGGGCATACAGGGGAACAGAAGTTACACTCCCCTTCGACAACCAACGGCACAAAAAGTAATCACCGACAAAGTTTCCGAAGGTCCAGTCACCGTAATCCTCATCGGATCCCACACGAATTTCGCTCTCTTCATGATGTCAAATCCTCACCTGAAACATAACATCAACCACATCTACGTCATGGGAGGAGGAGTACGGTCGCGAAACCCCACCGGCTGCTGTCCGGCGAACTCCACGGCTGCGGAATGTCAACCTAGACAGTGTGGAAACCGTGGAAACTTGTTCACAGATTATACAAGTAATCCTTACTCTGAATTCAACATGTTCGCTGATCCTTTCGCTGCTTATCAGGTTCATTATTGTCTTTTTTATAACTTTCTCACATTGCTTTGCTAGGGTTTCTTACAGGTGTTTAGATAATTATTGAGATAATTATAACATTAAAGAACAAATATCGTACAGGTGTTTCATTCAGGTGTCCCAGTGACTTTGGTTCCTCTAGATGCAACCAACACAATACCTATCAACAAGAAATTCTTTGAAACATTCGAAAACAACCAGAGAACATACGAAGCTCAATACACTTTCTTATCTTTGAAAATTGCCAGAGACACTTGGTTCGACGATGAATTCTACCAGGTATCTATATGATAATCCATTTCCAAAACTAATATGTGTTGAAACGTTTTTTGTTTTTCCTAAAAATAAAATTGATGAGTGCTATACAAGTATACAGGTTATTCAAAATTTTGAAAACGTGTTACCGCCAAATTTTACCAATTTAGCTTTTTTCACAAGTTGTTCTGCTCTACTGTATATGGCGCACATTTTAATTTTACCTAGATTTAAATTTACAAAAACTAGGTCAATTTTTTTTGTAAATGTTTTCGCTTCTTTATTATTCCGTTATCTCATAATCTCAATATTGAGCTGACCTATCAGTTATTATCATTCTCCAGAGCTATTTCATGTGGGATTCTTTTACGGCTGGTGTTGCAGTCTCCATCATGAGAAACTCTGGCAAAAATAACAACAAAAATGGTGAGAACGATTTTGCGGAGATGGAGTATATGAACATAACCGTTGTTACTTCAAACAAACCTTATGGAAAATCCGATGGCTCAAACCCATTCTTTGATAAAAGAAGAACTCCAAAATTTAACCTAACCCTTGGAGGAGTTCACAGTGGTCATGTTCAGATGGGTTTGCGAGATCCATTCTGCATACCGAAAAGCGGAAAAGGACGGTGTAAGGTTTGTGTCCTTAATTAATTTACCCTTTCTTTTAATTTCTGATTTGATTTTATGTAAGAGGAGACATAATGTATTCATATATACATTTTAAATCTCTTCGATGGTTCACATTATCAGGATGGTTACACACAAGAGACCTCTGGGACTGATTCAGTTCGTGTTCTTGTTGCAACACGAGCTAAACCGAACATAAACATCAAAAGTAAACTTGACAGAGAGTTTTACGTTGATTTCATGGAAGTAAGTTTTCATATACTTAAACAAATATAACTTAGAGAATGTTAGAGACGAAACGTCTTTTCGTTTGTTTTGACATAACTGAGTCGCTTACAATTACATAATGAACAGGTTTTGAATAGACCTGAAGAAACAGGGAGATATAACTTTTCATCACAGTTTCCATACTACAAAGAAGAATTGTTCAAGCCAAATCTTAGCAAAACAATCCTCGGAAAGCCTGTTGTTTTCGATATGGACATGAGCGCCGGAGATTTTCTCTCTCTTTTCTACCTCCTCAAAGTTCCGGTTGAGAAAATCGATTTGAAAGTATAATTTTACAGAGACCTAACTGTTCCTTGAAACACAAGTAACTAGGTGAATTTTTATCTCTGCTTCAATATGATCCTAATACCTACTCTCTCTTTGGATCTCCAGGCCATTATCGTGAGCCCAACCGGTTGGGCTAATGCAGCAACAATCGATGTGGTCTACGATCTACTTCACATGATGGGTCGTGACGACATTCCAGTTGGTCTAGGAGACATGCTCGCATTGAACCAATCCGACCCCATTTTCCCACCAGTTGGAGATTGCAAGTACGTCAAGGCTATTCCACATGGCTGTGGCGGTTTTCTTGATTCCGACACACTATACGGTCTTGCTCGTGACCTCCCGAGAAGCCCTCGAAGATACTCTGCAGAGAACTCAGTGGCCGATGGAGCTCCAAGGGATACTGATCGGCCTGAACTCCGACAACCTCTGGCACTTGAAGTTTGGCAAAATCTGACCAAATCTGGTAATGGAGTGTCTAAGATCACTGTACTAACCAATGGACCATTGACTAGCTTAGCTAAGATCATCTCATCAGATAAAAATTCATCCTCACTAATCAAGGCAAGCACTTTCTCTTAATTACTTTCTCTCATAATAACTTGATCAAGATTCGAAGATCTTTAGTTAAGGTGGCTTCTAATGTAAAATGCAGGAAGTTTACATCGTGGGAGGACATATAAGCCGTGAGAAATCAGAAAAAGGGAACATATTCACGGCTCCTTTGAATGAACACGCAGAATTCAATATGTTTCTCGATCCTTTAGCAGCTAAGACAGTTCTTGAATCCGGTTTAAACATCACACTCATCCCTCTAGCAGCACAACGCAAGTTGAGTTCTTTTCAAATGATGCTTAAATATTCCTCCGCGAAAACACCCGAAGCTCGGTTTGTGAAACGGCTACTTGCGAGACTGCAAGCTCTTCACCATAATCACAGGAGATACACCCACATAGTAAAGCCTCCTCTCATGTCATTCTGTTTTTCTTCAAGTTATAGTTGTGTGTTTTCAAACTAACTCTTAAATTGTTAATGCAGGACATGTTCTTAGGGGAAATTCTTGGAGCAGTTTACTTGGGAGGTGATCACGCTTCGTTGAAGCCGAAACTGCGAGCTGAGTACATTAAAGTGATCGCTGAAGAGGATGAATCAAAAGATGGTCAGATAGTAATCGATAAACAGCTCGGAAAACAAATAAAGATACTCGAAGGAGTAGATTTGAGAGGCTGCTACGAGAGTTTTGCTTCTAGACTCGATGATAAGAAACAATCTGCAGTCATAGGAAGCTTTGAAGAACAAAAGAAGAAATGGAACTCTCCACCACAATGAGAACGCCACCAATAAGGCACGCTCAAAGATTTGATTGCATTCATATGCCTACTGATTACTCTTTTCCAGAAACTGTTTATAAACTTCAATGCTTGATTAGACAGAAACTCCAGTTAGTACAAATGTCTTTTTATGGGTTATGACAACAACAACAACAACAAAACAAAAGTGTAAAGAACTAATGATGATGTTAAAGAACAGGAGACTTTCATCAACGAACAAGGACAACAACAACAAGAGAAGATAAGAGAAATAGTCCTTCACATACCTCAACAGCAAGAAATATACTTATAACGGTTATAAGTTTATAACCTATAATAGGTTTGATTTAAATCTATGTGTTTACATATCATTCTTTCCGGTAACTGCTATAGTTTTACAGAACTTCAGTCAGAACAAAGAGCCAACGATGACAACTCTACAATAAACAAACAACAAAAGAGACTTCCAAAAACAGAGACCTTTTATGGCACAGAACAAGAACAAGAAGAAAGCGGAGAGTAAAACTGAGTCTTAACAAGCCTTACAGCTTCGCCTGCAATAGCCAGGAAGCGCAGCAGTACCAACCATGTACTCTGGATTCTTTGTGCATTCCCCAAGCACTGCCCATCTCTCACAGCTCTCGTTCAAATCCGTGCAGTTTCCTCCCGGCAACACAATCTTATCGAATGAGTCCACGTGGATCCACTTGGTCGCCGACCATTTCTCTCCTTCTATCACAGGACATCCACCGTGAAGGCTCAACGGGTCCGGGATTGCGTCTGGGTGGAGGTTGAAGAACAACAAAGCATCCCCTTTCTTTGGTTTCACTGATAAAACATTCACCAACACAAAACATGTAAAACTTTCAACTTCCAGGAAAAGAGTCACTACCGTATTATCAGTTTTGTTTCTCACCAGCGATTCCTCTCTTGGCACAATCAGAAAGGTCTTCTTGGGTTTCAGAGAGTACTCGCCGAGAAGGTACCTATACAAAAATCAGATCTTTATGAGAGATAATGGAACCAAGACTGATCATTTGGTGATCTGTTCACGCACACAAACCTCTGCTTCGGGGAATACGGTTTCTCCACCTTTTGTGACATTGGATAGATACATGAGAACCGTTGCGATGCGGTGTCCACCACGGACAATGTTGACTTTGTCATGGAAGTAGTCAAAGTGAGCGTCGTATTTTTGGCCGTGCTCGTATCTCAATACCTGCATGTCTTCCCCGTTTTCTGTCAACACAGAAAGTAAACGAAGATTATCTTCAGAAGCCTTTCAAGAATTGAGCTTGCAATTATCTTTAGCTGTTCACAAAGAAAAGAAGTTTATTTGTACCTTTTGGAAGAAATGTCCAAGTGGAGATCTTGTCTTCTATACCAGAAACAATGGGGTCCTATAATTACATCAATGGCACAACAGTTACATCTTGAGGCCAAATGTTTAGAGATTTCATAAATATGTTCAAAGGTAAACAGAAAACCAAATGAGGATCACAATATGTCTGCCAACACTTTGGTAGACCTATCAAAGTTACTTATCCCAATTTCAGACCTGAGAAACAAGATCTATGCCAAATCGAAGATTTCAGAGGAACATTACGAACCTTTGCTTTGGAGATAAAAGTGCCAGAGCTGGTACGGACTTCGCTGAATTTGCTCTCTCCACTATCGTTATCAGCTACAGCAGATCTCTTCAAGGATGCTTTAGCCTTTTTTTCCAACACATCGAAATTTAGAATTTTGAAACAGAGAAAGCAACAAGAAGTTTCCGAATTAAGCTCAGCTCAAAACCGAAGATGAAATTTGAAGAAAACTCACAAGAGAGACCATATGGTCACATTCCAATTCCGTGAGAAACCCTTCATATACAAATGCCCTGAAGAGGATACAAAAACATCGAATTTCCCGATTCATCAACCAAAACATTTTAACATTTGAAAGTTCGAATTTCCCAAAATCACTTAAGAGTGTTTTTGCGAGAGAGAGAAAGAACAAACCTGGGTTTCGATGAAACTTGCTTAACTTTGGAAGGATTGACGAAGGCGCCAGAGGAACTGATCAGGGAAGTGGAAAACTGAAGCAGGACGGAGAAGATAGCGAAGAAGAACAACAATCCACGGAAATACATCGACATTGTAGACGCTTGGATCTAGATGCACGAGAGTCGGTGAAGGAGAGAGATCGGATTCGGAGATGGGGAGTAAAAAACTTAACTTTTTTTCCGGGAAAATAAAAGATGAAGTAAAGCTTTTTACGGGGTATTGTCAATGGTGATGACAAGTTTACGGTCTGCCTAACCGGATAGCGACAGCAAAACGCGCCATAGCTTTGCGTTTCGGTTCTTTGACAATATTGTGTGTTTTTTACTTTACCGGTTAGGCGGTTATAAATGGAAGTAACTGGTAAATACATACGAAATGAATCAAATGATTCTGCCCATTTTTCTTTATTTATAGGTTAGATAAAAAAAAGAAGATATGTTCTACGGTTTCTCTATATTATGCGATAATGAGTAGGAAAAAAAAAATCAAAAAAAAAAAGATATACTGAATTTTAGTTAGTAAAAATTCATCACGAATTGGTAAAAAATGCTTAGACGTTTTTAACAAAAAAAAAAATGCTTAGACGTACAAAGTAGTAGACAAGTGTCATTTCTTTCCAGTTTTCCCAAATTGTTTTTGTAACCAACAATTTAACACTATGAGTAACCAACAATTTAACACTACGAAGAAGAACGTATAAAGTTTGAGATACATAATTAATTAATGCAATAGTACGTGAACAACCAAGAACAAAAAGGGATAACGTTAATAGTTGAAGTCAAAGAAATAAAAGAATACAACATAATGATCATGATCAAATACATACACCATGGTACAACATATTTGGAGCAATAATATTTGAACATTTTTCAGTTCTCTCTTCCAAATTAATGTATCCAATCCGGATCGGATTAATCTATAGTGAACATAAGCACAATTAAGTGAAATAATTTCTCTTGCCTTTTTATTAGCAAGTATAGGACGTTTTCACGAGTCGTTAGATGTTCCGAGAACAGTCTCCATGTGTCGATGAATATCGTTCAAATATCTTGTCGAGTTGTATTCTTCGTTATCCAATAGTTCTTCGGAGTATGTCCTCTGAAGTTTCGAGCTTTCTCGTTCTCTTAGCTTATCTAAGCTGCTCTTGTCTCCCCTCAGAATCTCCACAACCTGTGTATATATATGTGACCAAATTAATCACTTTGTTAAACAAAAGTTGTAACTAAATGATGGAATTTAATGTTTTGTTAAGCATGCCTGGTTCATGTGAGGCCGGTTCATGGAGGTTTGGTGTATACACAAGGACGCTATAAAGACAAGACGTTCCAACTCTTCTATGTCGTAGTCTGCTCCCAAAATCGGATCAACAAGTTGTTTGATCTTGTTCTCTTTGATCAATGGCTTGGCCTGCGAAAACATAGATGACACACCTTAGTAAATTCAAAATGGAACAAAATGTAACAATCTAGGGTTTAGAGGGTCACACATCACGTACCCACATGACAAGGCTATGCTGTGCGCTGTCAAGGGCTTGTCTACCGGTTATGAGCTCGAGAAGCAAAACACCATAAGCATATACGTCTGTTTTCTCGTCTACTATCCCATGCATGAAGAACTCCGGCGGAAGGTAACTGATCGATGAACACATAAGAGAGATAGATATATTAAAAGATTTGTAAATCCGTGTATATATGTATGATATATATCGGTGAGCGATTCCAAACCCGAATGTTCCTTCAACTTTTGATACAGTATGGTGAGTCCATTGGTCCGGTAGCCATTTCGCTAGCCCAAAATCAGATATCTATAAAAGGAAAAGGATACGATTTGAGTTCATTCTTGTTTCATACATGGAACAAAAATTATATATTGAACTAATTAGGGTAGAATTATTACCTGAGCCTCAAAGTTTTCAGTGAGAAGGATGTTAGAAGCTTTAATGTCTTTATGAATGATTCTTCTTTGACAACCTTCGTGGAGATAGTACAGTCCCTCTGCTGTTCCCATCGCAACTTTGTATCTTGTGCTCCATTTCAATTTTTCTTTAGCCTCTGCAATGTTATAAGGATCATCATTATGAAGCTTTTTCAAAAAAATTCTATTGAGACTCTTGTTAACATAATTTACTTAGAAAACATCAAATAAAAGAGGATTACTACCGTAGAGCAAAGAAGCGAGGCTTCCATTAGGAGATAGCTCAAGAACAAGATGCATTCCTCCTTCAACACAATATCCAATAAGCTTAGCAATGTTTGGATGATCTACATGAACTATGATCCCTAGTTCGGACAGATAATCCATCGTCATCTCTTCCGCAGAACCTCTAGTCAGTTTCTTGATCGCCACTATTTGTCCATCTAGCATTTGTCCCTTATACACTTCCGCATATCCCCCTTCTCCGATTAGATTCTCTGCCATAATATCCATTATATTTTCATATTACATAACTTTATATATATATATATATATATATATATATATATATATAATAAGTATTGAAAATGTAACAAGGGTTCTTAATTATAAGATTTTCGAACCACGGCTGAAGCCATTTGTCGCGGTCTGGATATCTTGGAGAGAGAAGTTTCTCCATGAGGGCTTGAAGTAAAACAAGTCACCAGTGTCAAGACCAGCTGTAGCAGGTAGAACAGGGACCATGTTGTCTCTTATGCGTTTGCTCTTACGCCTGGTCAGCTTGGGGACTCCTTTAAGAGGTGTGAACGTGTTGAATGGCATCGCGGATGATCCTTTCTTGAGTAAACGGAAGAAACCTCGCCAGTGAGCGTTGGTGGAACCCCCAGACGACGAATGATGATGGTGGTGGTGGTGGGGATGATGGTGTTTAGCTTCTGTTGATGAGGAGTCTGACGTGCTCACTACGGAAGATGATGTTTCGGATTCTATGCTCCTTAGTAAGTCATCTTCTGAATCCGATTTGTTGTGGTAGGATTTTACGGCTTCCTCATCACGACAGAATGATGATAAGTCTGGTGCAAGAGAAAACGATATGCATGCAATCATTTTTAGGATAAGAACAATCTCAAGTCATCAATGAAATCTTTATGACCTATTGATGAAATTATTAATTACCATGAGAAGAGAAGGAATCAGAGAAGCCGGCTCGAGATCTTCTTGTTGAGAGAGGAGTTGATTGTTTTCCACGGTTCTCAACGTCTACATCGCTGCGAGATAACATATTGAGTTATATATTTTCAGATTAAATCAAATGTTTTGCGGGACAAGGCACAAGAATCATTTGAGAATCTTGTTCTGCAAGCAAGGTTTACAACAGAAAGATTCTGAAACAAACGAAGAAGAGTATATCTAGATGTCTAGAAACAAAATGAAGAAATTACCAGGAGGGAGTCGACGAAGAAGACGTGGTCGTGGAAGCAAGAGTTTCTGAGGAGTCTCGAACGCCTTCCATGGATTGGAGACAGAAAATGAGACCAAAAAGGGAAAGAGAGAGAAAAGACTAAGGATAGAGAGAGAAAGTAACGGAAGACATGATCATTGCTTTTCTCTCACACCTCATCTTCTCTTTTGTTATAACTGAAAATCCGCATCTTCTCTTCTTGGCCTTCTTCTTTCTTAATTTTAGATGAAATACATTTCTTCGCTTTCGAAATAGAAAATACACGGAGAATATTCTTCGATAGTTTGATATATACTTTAAATCCTAAATTTAGAGCAACAGACTAATGTTTTCTTCAATTGTCAATATTCCGGAGGTTTATTTTCTATTTCTCTATGCAGGTTTTCAAAAATTGACTATTTTCCCGATATTTTCAAAAGGAAATTTTGTTGTTAATGATGGATGTGACAGCTCCCACGTTGGTGGGTTTAATGCCACGTGGCACATTGCGTCTCCGACAAAGGTTAGTGGACCTGAAGTCATTAAAGAGACAGAACAACAATTTTGTACATGTGTTTCTTTTCTTTGACTTACCTACATGTTGACCACTTATATATCAAAGAGCTTCTTCTTACATATAAATGGGCCTGGGCTTTATATTTTAAATAAATAAGTAAAGCCCACGATACAAATACCCTAATAATAAACGGAGGAGTGTATTCTCCGATTTCTGAATCTCCTCCTCACTGAAGAACCCAAAATTACGACTTGAAATGGAGAAAGAGACGGAGAAACCCAATTCCGATACGCAACAACCTCCTCCTCCGAATCATCAAATGGATGCTGACGACGACGACGAGAATGTGAAACAGCTCAAGGAGTGTTCTTCTCTCTATTTGTCTTTACAGGTTCTGTTATCATCACCTCTTTTTGATTCTCCGATCTTCCGTAAATCCCTTAAGATTCTCCAATAATTGTGGCTTTATTTTCTGTGATTTCTCAGGATTGTCTTGTTGATACCAACAGGGACTGGAAATCTTGCCAGAAACGTAAGTCGCTCTCAATCTCAAGAAAATTTGAATAAATCTGAAATCTAAGGGTTTTAGAGCTGGGGTTTATGGGTTTTAACCTGAAAGAATAATTGAGCTGTGGAATTATTATAATTGAGTAATTGACTAGTTAAACGGTGATTGATCAAAGAACTGATGGATTGGTTAATTAAATTTCCTTATGTGAAAGAGACGAGCTAGTTGATAATGATGGCAATTTGTTGTTTGTGATATGTTCCAAAGACGTTCAAGCTTTGAAGGCATGCCAAGAAAGGAGAACGAAGAAATGACAGAGATGAGGAAAAAGCCACGCCTGATTAGTTACTTCTTATAGAGAAACCATATTGTGTTAGTGTGGCATCTTTATATATACGTTATTGTGAAATAAAATTGATAAACGGTTTACTCTGATTGTTCTTGTTGTGAAGATAGCAAAAGTCACAAACTATTTTACAATGTAAACAAACCCATTTGGTTATTCCATCAGAAGCAACTTTCACTTGGATCAATCTGAATCTTTGTATTTGTGTTTTTGCTACTCGATTTTGGTTTCTTTATATTTTTGCCGTCTCTTTAGAAGTTGTGTTTTTCTGAGATATGAACAATGGCAGAAGAAAACAGCAATGTTATCTGAATTTGTGTTGTTGGTCAGAAAGATTGGTTTGTTTTTGTCCTAGTCAAATTTGGTTCATTCAGAGGATAACTCTGTTTTTGCACACATTTAATATAGTTTTTAAATCGAATGCTACCTTTTTTTTCAAGGGTTGATATGGTTATTAGTGGGGATGATCGAGTGGCTTAAGAGGCTTCCACTGCTCAGAGAAGATCTTAATGTAGTTCATAGTGTGACTAAACAAGTTACGTTTTGCTACTGGACATAATATAATTGAGGTTTGCTTTAGCCAATTATTGTCACGTGCAAGTTGTTTTTTGGTATGTTGGGGTGGATATGAGTTTACATGCGCGATTATTAACATTAATTATATACTAAGTTATTCCAACAATTGTTTTAACTTTTTTAAAAAGGTCAACAGCAAAAAGGCGTAACTTTGTTGTTGTTTAAAGCTTAAACACACATAGTATCTCGTTTAAACCCAAGTTATGGTTTTAACTTGCTGTGTTGTGTTAACTATGGGTTTTAGATATCTATTGGATTTGAACATTTTTCTCGTAAAAACATGACGAGGACGCCACTGCTAAGCTTTATCGAATTTGTTAAACGGTGTAAAGCCACTTTCTTAACGTGTTGCTAATTCCGACTTGAAACTTATAAAAGTGGCTAAACAAGAGTTCATGAAATGTTTTAACTATAGAGTTCACATATCGTATAGATAGCTAGTGTATTTTAACTATGGTGGCGAATGAATTAATTTGTAACAATATAAAGTAAGAACGATTAAACCGTATATCAAAAGTCTGATATAGAGATATTTAAGAAAATTTAAAATTTAAAATGTAGGAAACAAACATAAGAAACAAAAGAAATAAAAAAAAGACCAAACTTTTTTTTACCCTCCCCCACTAAAATTCTACAACACTGAACCTCAAAAATGCTTAGGCGTGACATTGCCACAAGTGCAAAGTGGGGTGCATGATCATATGTTCCCACTTATATCTTTCCTTACCCAAGTCAACCAATCATCTCCGTCCACGTCATCACATTCCTTTTTTGTCTAAACCTAAAACGCTAAAACCCTTTTTGTTTTCCTCCTCCCGCGAAAGACTATTTCCGGCGAGGCGTGAAGGACTGATAAACGACGGTTCCTGAGCCTGGAAACTCATCCATAAGTCGGCTCCGGCACTTAAGGCCAAGCTTCTTCGCCAACACACGCTCCACGCGCTTCGTCACCTCGTGGTTATAATCCTCGCCGCCGTAAGTGGTGGCGATCGAGATGGAGTCTGGCCTGAAAACATCAATTGCGCGGCTCAAAACCTCAGCGATATCTCCATGACCGTCTTCGTAGAGAGTCAAACCGCACTCGAAGCTCGCGTAGCTAAAACCGTCTTCAGGCGTGACGTGAATGGTCGAGTAACGGTCTCCGTCGACGCCGTTCATGGAGTAACCGCAAGGGTCAAACGCGAAATCGCATATAAACGCGTTTTCGTTTATCATATCGATACCGCTCAGCCGCGTCATCTCCTTCCCGGCGGAATCGCTGTTTTTCTCGTCGCCTTTCCGTCTGAAGAAACTTCGAGCGTTGACTCTGTCAAGCTCCGTCATACACACTTCAACCACAACGACCTGCTCGTCGGATTCCACGTCAGCGCTAGCGGTGAACACGTGCCAAGCACGCGAGGGGTTATTAGAAGGCGTCATGACGGAGGCTTTACGGTAACAGAGAGACTTGGGGAGGCTTTCTTCGACGATGACGACTTCGTCTTTGAAGCTCGTGTAAGGGAAAGGCTGTGCTTTAGGGAAAATGAAGCTGCCGCGTGAGTAGCGACACGCGCGTAACGTGAGGCCGAGGTTACGCGCGAGATGGATCAACGGTCGGATTGATTTGAGGAGCTGCGTTGTGCCGCACGTTTTGATGATTATCTTGGTTGGGTAGACGAAGAGGCTTGACTCTGAGAGAACGTATGCGTCGAAGCTACGGTTGGCTACGGCGGAGACCACCGTGCACTGGACTTCGTTTAAGACTTGGTCTAGAGATTCGAAATCGATTAGACGGAGTCCCATCGGGTTAATATGGTTGGTTGGGTTGTCGTCGTCGTCGAAGAACCGAAGTTCGAGTCTTTTCTCGAATCCCTCGAAACCAGACACTGCCATTGGAAGATCAGAAGGAGATGCGGGAATAGAACAGAGGAAGTTGCAAGAAAGCAAATGTGTTCTGTTTTGTGTGTGTGTGTGTGTAGAGAGAGAAGAGAGAGGTAGTGGTGATTAGTGGAGGAGAAGTGGTATTTATAGGAGAGGTTTTGGAGGATAGAGAAGGAGGAGCATGCGGGTTAAGAGACCAAGAATCATGATTGTAGGCATAATGTAACGAGAAAGATGATGAGAGTTTGTGTTTTGTTTTTTGTATCTTGTGTATGTATGAGTGTATGCATCTGTGAATCTGTGTGTAAGCGAGAGATCTAATTAGTGTTTGTTCTGATTGTTTTCTTGTGTTCTGTAATGAGAAGGAGAATTGTGGGTAATGCGCATGCAAATTTGGATGTTTTTTTTGTTCTACTACTACTAGTTTTGTCGTCTTCATCTTCGTTTTCCATTATGATTTTGTTTGTTTGTTTGTTACAAGTGTGAAATTCATTTAATTGAATCTGCCTAATTATGTGATCTTTAGAATCGCAAATCAAGATTAGTCATCCAAAGGTTAGCAATAAGATTTTAGTTAGCAGCCTTATCATCATTTATTAAAAGATTCGCAAACATTAGTTGATAGTTGAGAAACAAAATGAGAAAATGACAAACATTTTCTAGTGGTTAATGGCATCCAAAATTTAAAGGTGAAAAGTATTCATCCTCACATTTTTAAATTGCTCAAAGAGGTTTAAACTAAACGAAAATACAAACACAGAAAAAAGGACCCATCTTCACTTAGTCCATATTAAATAATATATCTGACTGACTAGCTACATTTACATATACACACACACATACTATATCTTTGACAAGACACAAAAGATTTTGAAAGGCAGTGGAACGAACAATTGTCTGCAAGAACAACAATTTTAGTGGCGTGTGTGTCAAACAATCTCTAATGCACACAAGACATGTTTGTATGCACTATTCACGGTCCATTTTTTTTAAAGAATAACCGTGGTACGTTTCCATACCAGTCAAATTAGTAAAAACAACGACCTGAAATATTTATCCGAAAAAGGCTTATAAATTTTTCGAATTCAATACTTTAATACATAGCTAAAAGAATCAATAATTGGTATGTAGCAGGAAGCTCTTTTTTTTTTTTGTTGGAAAGAGAAATGATAAATCGTGTGCTAATTTGAAGATGATTTTGTTGGGGGGCTAACTTTAGGGAGACCTTATTAAAGTTTGAATCATAAGCTTAGTGCATTTTGTTGCCTTAACAAGAATCATTCACCATCTGCCCTCAATTCATTTGACCACAACTAGCTTCGTCATATCCATATAATATACATATATTCATATATGATCACTAAGGATGGATCGAGACTGCTATAACATAATAAATAAAGTTGAAACACCCCAAAAGAGAAAATGAGTATAGATATAGATTGAAAGATAGTTTTTTTTAATCACAAGTTCACAAAGGACTAGTATTCATCAATAGTCGCTCGTCCGTCCACCACGACAACTTCAGTTCAGATTTGGATTCTGATCTGTTTGCATTTGCTTAAGAATAATAATAAAACCTAGATATAAACTATTTTTTGTCGTCATATATACAATGTCTTGTTAAGCAATGGAGATCGAGAAAGATTATGCTTAAAGTCAAATTAACCATCCAGTAAATCTATGGAGCTAGAGTCGCAAGAGTATCATTGCAACCCTTGATATAATACGCCTATTAATTATTTAAAAATCTGTGAAAAAAAACATCTGAACTGGATGGTTATTAATGTTTAAACCCAACTATTAATTTATCCCTTTGTAGTTTGTACATCATATATCAAACTCCAGAACTTCAGCTTGTAATATACTTATGCGCGTGTGTTGCACTTCTCCTTGTTACGAGTATAGTAAACGTAACTTTTTACTGTAAGTTGACGTCAAACATCCGTTGTAGTTGATTTAGAACTAAAGTGTTTTTTCCCCCATCATTTAAAACATGGATGGATCTCAATAGATGGATAAAATATAGAGTAAATGATCGACTATTAGAAATGGATAAAACAGAATAATTGGATAAAATAATATCATGAATAATTTTGTAACAAAGAATAAATAAACGACATCAGAAAGTCAATTTACTTTTTTTTTTTTTTTGAAAAACGTTATAGCGGACGATTGTGGCTTTACAGAAATCATTTTATTTTAATATTCGGTGATATAAGAGAGACTTTAGATTTTGTAACACATACTTGTTTATTTAACTGAGGACCAAAATTGTAGAAATTAATCGACCAATATGTTGTTACTTGTTAGATCGATCACCGGATTAAAAAAACTATCGAGCGGGAAACTACCAAATAAAAAACGACCAGGCGTGGCAACTTGATAATTATATATTTTTTCCTTTTCAATGTTAATTAGGATTGAATGAAATGAATGCAGGCCTTTTAACAAAAAAAAAATTGAATGAAATGAATGCTCCGTTACGTGATACCAAAAGTGCCCTTTCAACATCATTTCTATTCTCTCCATGCAATTTTATGTCTAACTCTGTATTCCGGCATTATCATTGTCAATTTTTATAACATGAGTTTTTATATATACAAAACAAAAACATATAACCGACTCGTAACTTCTGATTAGCGAAGATAAAATAATTAACCAAAAGATGCATAAGTACTATGCTATCTCCTCTAATAATTTGTTAACTCTAAGACATGTAAGCTACACCTTCAAATCTAGCAGCTAACTCTTTGTTGAGTCCATTGCTAGAAAAGCCAAAACCAAATACAAACTCTAAGTGATAAATTCCATAATCACTTGTAGACTGAATTATCCAAACCCATATCAAATTTTTACTCTGTTTATCGAGAATTAGGATATTAATCAAAATAATGCATTTAAGTATTGAATGACTACGTTTTGGTATCCGAATTAACGGATGCTTGAGTATAAAGATTTATTTTTGAATAATACTTTTAGATATACCAAACAAAAAAAACTAAGAAAGGCACGAGTTCATAGAATTGAGCGGTTGATAACCTTTTGATCAATGCCTTTATCTAATTTGTTAGACTAAATTATGACGATTATTACATAGTCACCAATATACAAGTTCATAGGTGAAAAGGGTTTGGGACCAGATAGTCTGTCAATAACTGTATATACTAGAAAAGAAAAGTACTCGATTGATCTAATGCTTACAATTTGTTCCTCATTACTATAGATAGTATTCTTCGCTTTTAATTTAAGATAGTTTTTCTAATATTTACCACAGTAATAAATCATACTAGTATATAATATGATAAAAACGATTGATAGGGTTGTGATTCTGTAATGGTAATCGATGTGAATTGTGATGTATTATACAACATAAATCTGCTTAACTCAAATGTTTATGCTATTTATTGTTTGATAGTATTATTATTATTATACTACTAGGAGAGTACCCGCACAATGCGCGGGATTATATTAGTATAATTTTTTAAAATATTCTTTTATTTCCAATAAAAACATAAATAAAAAAAATTTATATTTATAATATAATCAGTAACACTATTTTACCTTTGTTGGTCATAAGTTTTGTCATATATAATTTGTTTAAAACATTGCCAATTAAGAGGTTCTTTTTTTGCTATTAATACTTTGGGAGGTTCAAGTTGGATTTGTATATGGTTTATTGTTTTAATGTCAATAATCATGGTGATCGAAGTGTGATTTATCTATCCCCTACACTTATGTTTAATCATATGCCAAATGATTGAGATCAAGTTTCTGACAAAGCTTACAAACCAATGGGGCAAGATGAGATGCATATGCTGATTAATACAAATTGGCTTTTAGACTCACTAACTACTTTTTTAATAAATTGTATACTATTTGAGTATTTGTTGATATTTTTAGTTGTTTGTTTCCTTGAGTTTTGTATGTATGATAGATTTGTTACCATTTTTTTGCTATAGTAGAAAATAATGTAACCAATACAAAAGCATAGCTAAAGCAAAATTTAAGTCTGGATGTGCCTACATTCTTAATTGAGAAAATACGGACAAAAGAAAGTAGTAGTTTTATAAGATTATAAAATAATTGTAAAACGGAACAGAGTGAATACATAAATCCACATTCCTAAGAAAACACAAGACAATGTTTTTGGGCATAAAGCTGATTTGCAAGAGCAAAAGCTGAGTTCCAAAAATAAAAAATAGCAAAATCTCGCATCATAACACAGAAGAAGATCAAGATGTTTACTTCTTCTTTTCAGAGACTCCACCACCAGACCTGCAAGTAGTCAAACAACAAACAAGATTCAGCAAACCTTACTTCAATTCAACAAACAGAACTTGTTCATATCTCAGCTGAAATTTGGTTTTCAGGTGTTAAAACGATCATATATAACACTCTCTCCTTCCTAAAGGAACTCAAAACAATTATATCTAAACAAACGACTATACATGCCAATAGATAAAACATGACAATGAAACTTCAGTGAAGAAACTAATGAAACCAAGTAGCTGGATCTAATACCTCATCTTGCGGAGAACAACAGACATCTCCTCTCTCTTTCGCTTGGCTCTCTTGTGAGTACCCAACTTCCTCTTAGCAACCTTAAGAGCCCTCTTGTCTTTGCCAACCTTGAGAAGCTCAGTGATTCTCTTCTCAGAGTCGGTTGAGCAAAGATGAGTAGATAGAAAGAATCATACAAAACTGTATTTGACAAAGATGGAAACAGAAATGACCAAAATGTGAATGGTTTAGCTTCAGCAAATGGTAAGAATCTCAGAACCAGTTCTAGTAATCAAAATCGTATGCTCACACTGTGCAGCGACACCACCATCAGCTGTCAGAGTCGTCCAGTTGTCTGGCCATGTTACACATTCCGTCGTTCCTATCGTCAGAATCGGTTCTGCAACGTAATTGCATCCATCGGTTTACTCATTATACAGTAATCACAATAGCAAATGTAAAGCCATTAAACTGAATAGTAGAAAAAAATGACTAACCGATTGTGAAAGTTTGTCCTTCAACCATAAGTCCAGGCTCATCATTTCCTGCAAATCCAAGTATTGCTTTTTCGGTTACATGTTACATTACAGAGAATAAAGCTGCTAAGAGAAGATATCACTCACGGTGATGATATATAAGTGGTTCGGAGTGGAACACTGGCCCAACACCATGCCCTACAAAGCGTTCCACAACGTTGTAGCCAAACTTCTCCGCATGCTCACTGTTTTTAAATGTAAAAAACCATTGAAATTGTTTGGTCTAGCAATTTCCATGAATCAAAAAATGGTTTCTTGGTTAACTACCTGATTCTCTTGCCGACTTTCTTGAAGCTTGCTCCATCTTTACATACAGCTATACCTTTCTCCAAGCATTCTTCCGTAACCTTAACACAACAACAAAAATATCAGCAACACTTAAAAGCAGAATCCAATTACATATAGACAACACGGCACAGAAGGAGATATCGTAGTACCCTCTTACCTTCACAAGTTTCTTAAAACCTTCATCCACATCTCCACAGAAGAAAGTTCTCAACGTATCTCCATGGTAACCCTGTTCAAGTTTTCAAACCCCCAAAACGTATTAACCAATCTTTAACCATACAAATCAAACATAGTAGAAGCAAAAGTGTCCGCAGAGACTTACATCCAAGTAAACCGTGACATCAATGTTTATAATATCACCATTCTGCATTAACAAGGTAAATGATTGTTAGTGATGAAGCATCTTAAACCAGTGAAACAAAAGAAAAAAGCACAAAATCCAAACCTGAAGCTGGCGAGAATCTGGTATGCCATGACACATACACTCATTAACAGATGTACAAACACTTTTAGGGAATCCACCATATCCAAGAGGTGGTGGATAAGCTCCAGCTTCAATTATCATATCGGAAACCATGATAATTAACCGAGCGGGAGGGCGGTGGTTAAACCATGATGAAAGACGGCGAATTTGGGGGAAACGAAAGAACGCCGAAGTCAGCGGATCTGAAATCGGAAAGGAAATGAGAGGAAAAAAAATTTAGTGGCTGGAAAGGGGTTTTTTATATTGAGATTCGATTTCGGGTACTGTATCGGCAAAACAGAGCTTTGAATGCACAGCATTGAAACGAATTGAAACCGAAACGGAAGAGAAAATCCGAAGAGTTTCGCCGTACGCGGATGCGGACGACGGAGGAGGTGGGACGGAGCGATACCGTCGAAGTGAAAGCGGAGCCGTGGAAGTGACAGCGGAGACGACGTCGTTTTGTTGGTGGGAGTTTAATTTCGAGGTTTGGGAAAGTAACAAAACGATGTAGTTTTGGCACAAGAGGGAAAACAATAAACGACATCGTTTTGGTGTCAGACGAAAATTAAAAAAAAAAGTTATAACGCAAAACGACGTCGTTTTGGCGTTAGGATGAAAAAAAAAAAAAATGTGTCACATGTCGAAGGCTGAAGATTGTCCAAGCCTTATTAGTTATGTAGATTTATATCTAACGTATGTGCCAATCATCACCATAATGAGAATATATAATAAAACTGAATTTTCATCTACCATGAAAAATATGAAAACTAGAAAATAAATGAAATCGTAAAGAAACTTATGAAACCAAAAAAAAAAAGAGACCGATACATGCATACAATTTGATTTTCTTGAAATACTAGAATGACAGACAGAAATAGGTATCGCCTATAAACCCAACTACACAGAAAGACTGATCCAAATATAACTAAATGAACCTTATACAAAATATAGCCAAATAAAGTGAGTTTCGGTTCCTTTAGCCAGAGCCAGCTTTCACTCAAACTGATCAAACCAAAGGCAAATATAAAGAGAGTGAGAAACCAGCACAATTTGGATTTGGACTATACTGCAACAAAATAGTATGTTAGTAACCAGATCCAGTCGGACTGCTGACACCTTATATAAGTTAACAAGCTACTTTAACTTCTCTTTTTCTTAGCTAAACGACTTTAACATTGAAGGAAGAATGAATATCAAAACATACTACTTTGATATAAAACATGTATGATTAAGATTTTATTAAAATGGAGAATATAACTATAAAAGAACAAAAAAGAGGAAATGTTTACGAGAGCAGTAAGTATTATGACCACAATCCCACAAATAGAGAGCTGCACGCGCACCCACCTATCTTCTCTCTCACTTGTCTCTTCCTTCACTCCCACACCCACACCCACACATTTGTATTTACTAATCAATCAATTACTTAATTAACCAATTTACAATTTTATATATATATATATAAAGAGAAATTTCCACCCATGTCTTAGTTATACAATAAACATATATTTTGGATTCCAAAAGATTAGATATATATATATCACTTTCGCCACTTATCTTAATTAGTTCTGTAACATGGAACCATGCATAGACATAGTGGATCACTCCAAGCGTGCCCATTTGATCTTCATGACTATTCACTAGTAAGTTCCAGTTACTTTTTGAAAGTACGTAACAAACTTATATCTACTAAAAACTATAAGTTTCACTGATATTTTTCAAGTGTTATCCAAAAGTTTTTACGATCAAAGACCAACTAGTTTTAAACAAGACCCAATTATGTAAATCTTACCTTCTTAAGAAAACCTCCAACTTTCCAACATACAAAACCTCGTTTACATGAGATTGATGATTAATATATATTTCCTATACAAAGTTAAATAATGATTTTTGTATTAATACATTGAAGGTTCTTTTTTCTATAGCAAATTGTTTCTATTTTTCAACTCTCGATCCACATTTTCTGTAAAATAATAAACTCGGATGACTAGTGAGCAAAATAGTCTCTTAACAATACATGTTCTTGGTTCTATAACTTTTTGAGAGATATTGATCTCGAATTGTAAGATAATTCCGTTTTATGGTTAGGGAATTATTTACACTTAAAACTGTATACTTTTAAAAATGTATCTATAACAGTTAGACAAATCATTTTTTTTTATGGGTGAACTGTTTTTATTTTAGGTAAAATAGTTCATTTACACTGATATCCACGGTATTTAGTTTTTTTTTTTTTTTTTTTTTTTGTTGTTGTTGGGTAAACACATCATGTTAGCTTTTGAAAATGAAAGTACATGGAGCAATGGATTCGAACTTCGAAGACATTGTATCAAACACGGCTCTAGATCAAAAACGGTCAACCACGCATACTCATTATATAATTGTACCACGTGACTGAATTAAACTTTGCATATCTTATACAGTATCTATATAAAAAACTGCGATTTCTCTCTGAAAAATAAAAACAACAAAAAAAGTCTGCGACACCAAAAAGACCATCACAAAATGTATCTTCTTTTTCTTCTCCGGCTATGAAGCCGCGTGCCGTGTTTACTTAAATGTTTTGCCCTTTCGAAGCATACTTCACAGTTCAAACCACCACAAAGATCCTAATTAAATACGTAAATTAAAATTCCCTAGAATTGTTTCATATCCATATTAAGTATAAGTGGTGTTATTGGCTATATGATTTTAATGAATTTAGAAACTAATAAAATTATATTGGTTTTCTAATTTTAAATTCTATATTCAAATTCTGGGCTACTAGTTCTATGATTTTAAAATTCATACATAAATTTATGATTTTTCGATCTCCTCGTAATAAATTTATTCCTAGATAAACAAAAACATCGGCAAAGATTCGAAAGTTGAAGCATGACATACTATTGCAGAGATACGGAGTCCTCTTCTCGATATATGTTGTGGGGCCAACAATTTGGATGGATTAGCCGACGTGAGAATCTTACAGCATCATTGGAAGTGCGCCCTAAATCCGAGGCAGAAGAGGAAAGTAGGTCCCACAAACTAACAAGTCGATTTCTTAAGATAGTGACATGTGAACATGGTGGCCCTACATAAGTCACTCCTCTGGGTGACAACTACGCTTCTGTTTGGTACGTTTGTTTATGTTTTTGTTATGAGTATTCCTTTTTTTTTTCTTGTATACTCCTATTTCCTATAAAAATAATGAAATGTCAAAACTGATGTAGTGATTTGATGAAAAAATATTATGCCAAAAATTAATATATTTATAGTAGATAGAGCATAAAAGAAAATTTGGGAGTAGGGGAAGCTGAGACTAATGAAGATAAATCGAGTGCTACTGTATCATGCGCACACAAGTTTATAACCAAAAATAATTAACCAAAGAGGCCCACTCTCTTTCACACACCATGTGTTAATTATCTCATGTTGTGCTCCCAGTAATCTTTCTCGTTATCCATTTTTCTGTTTTGTTTATATACATCTTCTTAATAGAACAAAGTTTGTTCTTATTTCTCAGTCGGAAACAATGATCAGGCACGGATATGAATAGATTAATCGACCCCAAAAAAACATTTTTAGTGAAGAGTAAGACACACCAACTGTGATGATTTAAATGTCAACCGAAGCTAGATCAGTTCCTATAGATTAGCAATATTTTAAGCAATTTGTTGCTACCCAATTGTAAATTATCGTTATTTTTACGTGCTAGAGATTAGATCATTAGTTTCATTTCTTAATAATAAGTTTTCTTGCAGTATAAGTATATTCATCTTCACATGAAGATGAAAAAAGAGAAGCGCATGTGAACAAAGGAGACGACGCGTACAAGATTAAAATGTGCCTCGAGCCCAAAAAACAAATCCAGAATCAATCTTGATACTCGATAGTGTTGTAGCTTATATTAATAGGAATAATAGTGTTTTTATAGTTTTTGTGAGGTTGTTTGGTACATATGAGGCAATTTATTAGTCGATGCAAATCATTCCCCGTGCCTCTTATGCTATGTTTTTCTTTATTATAAACATGAGAATAATTATTTTGAAAATTGATTATGTTGAGAATTTTAAAAATTTAAATAAGAAGAAGAGGAAAGAATCTAATGGACCCTTCTGGTTTCTCCACGCAAGAATCATTCCACTGAAAGGGCTAATACATGCATGCATTATACTTTCGACTCCTGGACCAACACTTGCTTCAGTATTTTAATCCGCTTAAATGATATAGTCTTTTTTTAGTTAGTATCAGGACCATAATTGTATATCTACAAACTGTATATCTGTAGTGATTAAACTGTCTTTCGTATAAAAATTGATTTGAGCTGATACAGTAATGTGCGTTTAGAACCTACAACGCATAAATGGACAGAACAAACGAAAAAACGTGACTAGCATCGTAAAAATTGTAAAATAAGCTTTAACAAATGCAGCAAATCACTGACTAACTTGTAACTTAACATTACATCGAAATATCGAATAATCAAAATGATTTTTAATTTTCTCTGATCTATAAAACTATGTCGATAATTACATGCCTCAACCGCAACGAACGCTATCATTCAAAGCCGTAGTGTCTACAAACACAAGTGCATCGTCATCTCTCGTCCATAGTTCTATATCTTTATAAAGTTGCCACAATAATGAGACGTGCTTGCGTAAGCATGCGTCATCTCTTTGTCATATTGTGCAAATCCAACAGGACATTATTATATGTGACACTTTTGTTATGGAGAGACTTTCAAGAGATTTGGTTCAGTCAATTTTTTTTTTTAATAAGATAGCTGATGATGACAGAAGGGTGAAGCATGGAGGCCATCATGTTCCCTCTTCCGCGAACCCTTTGTCCTCTTCAAAAGGTATCTGATTCTCTTTTTAAAATACTTTTATGTACAGTTTAGTACATTAGATTCATTTTCCCCACTCTATTGCTTCTATAGCTTCTGATTTCTTTGAAATCGTTGCCAAAAAAAATCCACTTTGAATTTCGCAATGAAGACATTGAGGAGTGCTTCTAATTAACGGGAGAATTATCAACATCTTGAAACTCTTACACTATATATGAATATAAAAATATATAAATGATGCATTGACTAATACTCTAAGAGTCAGTTACTATATTTTCTCATTTTCTTGAAAAGAATCATGGTTCGTTGCTGCATATAATTAGATTATAAACCTATGCGTGTATCCCTCATGATAATTACTATTTTTTGTGCAAATTCATCTTAGCTTTGGCTTGTGGGCTCATTCATTTGCTTATGAACCCTGTCTCCTACTTCTTCACATGTTTATTCTATCTAATACATACATATAAATATGTGTATGTGTTGTTTGATCATTATCCTAGTACGTAATTAGTCCATATAGTAATGACAATTACAGTGTCATGTGAATTTCAACTCAAACTTGAGAGTTTGATGGAACGTTACAGAATTGCTAAATCAACTTATTATATGTTTTGTACTTTATTAATTAACGATCATTATGTCATATGCATTTTTAGTTATATTATTTACGATATTTAATTATTCATGACCAATTTTCTCGAAAAATATTTCGGTTTTAAAATACCAAAAAGAGGCAAATTTGTTACTCAAACCTTGTAAGAATATTACTTTTTTCATATTACTAAATCTCTCGAGACTTTGGGGTATTTTCTTTGCATATATCAAAAAATTATAGCAATGAGAAACTTTTGGAAGGGGTAAGGAAGATATGATAATGATGTTGCTGGGGATATGAAGAGTTTGATAGGGAACGGGCACATTGATATGACAGTGTCTCCAAATCAAAAGCCCTAACTCCTATGCAATAAAAACTTATGTTTCTGTTTTAGGGTTTCACTTTTAACTCTCTAAGGTAGACAAATCATAAGCTTATGGATATGGTCTAAGCAATATATGGGACTTATTTTGTTAAAAAATAAAGTATAGGGGGTTGCTTGCCTCTACTGATACTAGTATTTGTCGACAATACTGCTGACTCACAAGTCACATCACTGGCGTACTTGTTTTTGAAATGATCGCGAGAATGAAAGTAATATTTTCGAAATGACACATAGTTGGGCCTTGTTGGACCGAGATGGAATCTATTCAGATATATAATAATCGATTGGGTCCATTCAACCTCTAAGATCAACCCAAAGAGTTAAATTAAGCCGTAATCGAAGACTCACACAGTTTGGTAAGAAAGAGTCCATGTTTGCAATGTTGTGAGTTGTTTTCATGTTTTAGTTGATTCGTTTCTGGACATGGTTCCGGAAATGTAGGTTAACAGAAGTAAACCTCATGACCAACAGTGTGTCTCAATTTGATTTTGCTCACTCGTTTGTTTTCATCTCTCATCTGCAACACTAACACAGTTTGCTACGGACCAAACCATGGAAGTAAGTTTAAACGATTAGTCTAGTGATGAACATGCACAAGAATAGTGTGTGGCTTTCAATAATGCATTGGTGCTCATCTTTGGGCTCCTTGAATGGACGACTAATTCATCACTATCTTAATTAGCAAAATGTGCATGATTTGACTCTATTAGAAATTAAACCATAAAAAGATAGAATTACTGCTGAAGATAACTTTATAAGGAATATAATTTAGAAAAACACAACGACTAATTTGATTACCAAATAAACATACCGATAAATTATAATCCTTCCCAATCATTAGTGGACTAAATAAATTCGACAATTAAAGACAAGATTATAAGTGAAATTGTTTCCCACAGGCTTGCTGGTTAACTAATAAAGTTGGGATTTTTAATGGCACTTATATGACTTATCCTTCCTCTTCGTCTTTTTTGTTTGGTCAAATTCATCACATCTTAATTAGCAAAATGTGCATGATTTGAGACGATCTGCTTGAAGCTAGGCGAGGAAGGAAAAGCGAAGTGTCGCCCTTTATGGTAGCTATTGAATGAGTTTCCGATCCACGATTCCGTCGGCGAGCTCAGAATCTGAACAACGCAGAATCCGAATCTGATCCTCATCTTCTCATGTCGTTCTCCTTCTTCAAGCCATCGAGGCCTAAAACGCCTCAAGAGGTCGTTAAGGCGATCAGAGACAGTCTCATGGCTCTCGACACCAAAACCGTCGTCGAAGTTAAAGCCCTCGAGAAGGTTGGTTCTCTGTTCAAACGCCTTCTCTCTGATACAATTTTGTTTATGAAAGTTTCCACCTTTACGCTTGACTGCTGAATTTGAGATATGGGTTTTACTAATTTGATTTGACTCACTCTTTTCTTCTCAATTGTAGATGTAAAGTCGATTTTTTTTTTTTCACTTTGAATGTTCTGTTTTTAAGGCTCTGGAAGAAGTTGAGAAGAATTTCTCTTCTCTGAGAGGAATGCTTTCTGGAGATGGTGAGGCTGAGCCAAATGCTGATCAAGCTGTTCAGTTAGCATTGGAGTTTTGCAAAGAAGATGTTATCTCTTTTGTTATTCATAAGCTACACATTTTGGGATGGGAAGTAAGTTTCAGAGGTTTTTTTTTTTCTCAATTTGTTCCCATTTATGAGTGTTAATAGAAACCAAATATAAACCGGTGGAGTAATATTGCAGGCAAGAAAGGATTTACTGCATTGCTGGTCTATCTTGTTGAAGCAAAAAGTCGGCGAGACTTATTGCTGTGTGCAATACTTTGAAGACCATTTCGAGTTGCTCGACTCTTTGGTTGTATGGTAAATACTGTAAAGATTTTGACTTTTTATTTTGTTTATCTGGCTGAGAATTTTCTGTAGTTGATTTGCTCTGTTCCTCTTGAGTCAATACTAAGAATTCACCGTTTATGAACAGCTATGACAACAAGGAGATTGCTCTGCATTGTGGAAGTATGCTTAGGGAATGCATCAAGTTCCCAAGTCTTGCTAAGTAAGACAAACCCAGTATCTAGCTTTAATGAGCTGGTGGAGAATTGTTTTTTCACACGGTTAAATATTTTGTAGTGCCTTTTCAGGTATATTTTAGAGTCTGCCTGCTTTGAGTTATTCTTTAAGTTTGTGGAATTGCCAAACTTTGATGTTGCTTCTGATGCATTTTCGACATTCAAGGTAGGGTGATGTTTTTTCACTGTATTATTAGCGTGTGGACTAGTTTTGGATTTTGCTTGTTTATTCACCACTTCGTTGCCTTGCATCTCTTGCAGGATCTTCTCACAAAACATGACTCTGTGGTTTCCGAGTTTCTCACTGCTCATTACACTGAGGTTTGCTTCGGTTTCTTTTTTCAAGCATAGAAGAAGCATTTATGCTTCAGTTTCTCACTGCTCACTACACGGAATATTTATGGTTGTTTCAGTTCTTTGATGTTTATGAAAGACTTTTGACATCTTCAAATTATGTGACGAGAAGGCAATCTCTGAAGGTTTTTGTTCATTACAATATCTTTTTTCCCTGATATATTCATCTCTTAAATGGTTTAGTTAACCATTGAACTATTTCACGGTTGGTTTAGCTTCTCTCGGATTTCTTATTGGAGCCTCCAAATTCACACATCATGAAGAAATTCATCTTAGAAGTTCGCTATATGAAAGTCATAATGACACTCTTGAAGGTGAGCAATCAGAGTTTGTGGTTTCATCTTTTTCATTTTGTTTTGCGGTTAAATTGTCACAAACTCATACGTTATTTCATGTCATGGTTAATGTACCTTTGAGTAGGACTCGAGCAAGAATATTCAAATATCAGCCTTCCATATATTCAAGGTAACATTGTCTCTTTGTTGAAACCATATTGAATTTGGTAACAACTGTTATGAGTTAATCAGATTTTGAAGCCCTTTAAACTGAATTTATTTGTGTGATTACAGATCTTTGTTGCGAATCCTAATAAGCCGCAAGAAGTGAAGATCATTTTGGCAAGAAACCATGAGAAATTACTTGAGCTCCTTCACAATTTGTCCCCTGGTAAAGGTATATCAATTCATTCAACACTAATATATAAACATTACTCTCTAAACTAGACTTATTCCTTTACCGGATATCTTGTTTAGGCTCTGAAGATGATCAATTCGAAGAGGAAAAGGAGCTGATCATCGAGGAGATCCAAAAAATGTCGCGCCTGAAAAACCTCGAGCTTTGAACCATTCTTTTGCCTCCTCATCTCTATCTGTTCCACGCTTGTTAACTGCAAAAGAAGTTCCTAGCGAACTCTGTGTCTTAAGTTTTGAGTGTAGTAATGTAACTTGTGATTTCTCTGTGACAGACGAAATGTCATCATCGCTGAGTTGCTCATATCCATGACTTATCTCTTATTAAAAAGACCATAACACTTTGTTGCCTTCTAATATCATTTATATGAAGAGATTGTGCTTTTGTATGTAACCTTTGAAATGAAACAACAAATACAAATGTGAGGAAAAAAGAAATGGAATCAACCTAATGTTACAGTTTCTAGAATCACAGACAAAACTTAGTATCAATCAATCAGGCAATCTCCAGAATCTCATTCAAAGAAGTTGCAACAGAATCACACATCTTCCGATTCCTCAACTGTTGTAATGCAGCATAAGTCCTAGCAGAAGGTTTCAAACCTAACTCCTTAAGCTCCTTGAACAGCTTAACGACTCTCTCAACCTTATTCTCCTTGGAAAACCCTTGAACCAAAGCGTTATACGTGATCGCATCCGGTTTAACCCCTCTCTCAGCCATCTTCTTGAAAAACTCCAACGCCTGCTCCGATCTCCCAAACGAGCAGAAGCCAGTGATCATCGTGTTGCAGCTAACCGTCGTCTCTCCATACCCGTTCCTAACCATCTCACCGTAAAGCTTCCGAGCAAGCACGACCTCGCCTCTTTTCAAATGAGCATGTATCATCACATTGTAAGTGAACTCGTTCGGTCGCATCCCTTTCTTCATCAGCTCACGCCACAGCTTCCTCGCTCTCCCGAACCTCCGCATCTCACACAACCCATGAATCATCGTGGTGTACAAGACAACATCAGGCGCATAGCCTCTCTCCTTGAGGCTGTTGAACACACGGTAAGCCTCTTGCGGCTTCTTGTTCTTGCACAGCCCCTGAATGACCTCATGGTACGTGCTGAGACTCGGGAAGTGTTTCCACGCAATCATCGTGTGGAGAATCTCTGACATGGAAGCGTACTTCTCAATCTTGCAGAACGCAGAGATCAACTTCTCGTAAACAAAGTGTCCTGGATCAAGCCCTTGTCTCAAAACCTTCTTCATAAGCTCATAGCCTTGTGAGACTTCTCCACTATCGCACAAAGCCTGAATCAAATACTGAATCCTCTTGAGATCGATTTCGGATTCCGTCATTTCCTTGTGAAGCTCCCAGAAGCGATCGAGTTTCCTCGCTCTCACGCAACCTAGTAAAACCGAATTGCAGGTTGCAACCGAAGGTTTAGCTCCCTTCTCTTTCAGTAGAGTGTACACTTGAATACCTTCGTCAACCAAACCTTCTCTACAGAGACACGTCACGTATCGCTCTAACAGCTTCGTCTCTGGGTTAAAACCAGTGGTAGTCTCGAGGAAGCTTTTCGCGGCTTTGACTGCTCTTGCATCCAGAAGAGCACCGAAGAGAAGGTTTAACGATACATGATCAGGTTTGTAATCGAAGCTCGAGCAAATCCATCGGAAAAACCAGAGAGTGAAGAGAACATTGCTCTGAGATTTCAACAATTCTCGGAGAAACAGAGGATCTGCGAAATTAAACGACGGGAAATCGAATACCAGAGTCTGTTCCCATTTCTGTCTCTCTCTCATGATCGTGGAGACGGTTTTAGCCATTTCCGAATAACTCACCGCCGGCGCCGGTTTATGCTCATCGGGCTTCGATTCGCTATCTCGAGACTCGACGGTTAGAGTCCGTATCTGGGAATTAGGATGGTTCTGTCGAGTTCGGTTTCTAATGAGACTGATGATGAAATACGACTGACCTCTACTCATGGCGTCTCCGCTAACTTTCTCGCTGATTCGTAACTCCAAATGTCGTTGGCCAATATCGAATTTCAAGCTAATCGCACAAAAAAGTCGAATACTTTCTTCACCGGAACCCTAGAATTTTGATCCCCGATTTGATTTGGGATCTTCTCTCAGCCCGATGATGAATGAAAGGTTTTTTTTTTTCCACTCAAAAATCCTTTTTTTTTTCGTTTCTGTAGTGTAAATTTTTAATTTAATAGTAATAAAGTTTTATTACATTCCATCATCATAACATAAACTATACTTTCTCATTAATGTTTATGACATCAAATTTTAGTTTGGTCTAGCTAAACAAAAAATTGGCCGGATAATAAAAAAAAAGGGGATTGCTTTCTCTTCTTCTCCTCTTCTCTCTCTATCTCTATCTGTATCCGTATCTGTGTCTATCTATCGTCTTCGCCGAAATCCCTAATTAATTTTGTTCCTACCTTCCACATCAATTTCCCGCCAAAGAGAATGTGTACGCTCCAGCAATGAAGCCTCCTCACCATAGTCAAATCCCAATCCGCGAATAGCTGAAAGAGTTTCGAAGCTCTCTCGCAATCTCCGTCCCTTTGTGTGTTCTTTCCTCGCTCACGGGAATGGAAAGGTAAGTCATTTCTGTCGGAAACTCTGGCTGATTTGTTTTCCAAATTATTATTTTTCTTCCTATTTTCGTTTGGCTTCAATTAGATAGAGAGAGAGAGAGTATACTTAGATTTAGAAAGGTTGATAGTTGAGAATTCGTATCTGTTCTGTATCTACAATTCTCGGAAACTTGTTATGTAATGAATTGGTTGTGTAATTTATTATCTCTTTGGTTGTATCAAAATGCAGTGCAGATACTGAGCTCAACAGCTTCAACAACATGGTAGCGAAAGCATATCCGTTACGGATTCTGAATCACAACAACAACGAAGAAGGAAACACAGGAGTCGAGCCATACGTGGGACTCGAATTCGACACAGCAGAGGAAGCTCGCGAGTTCTACAACGCTTACGCGGTGAGAACCGGATTCAAAGTAAGAACCGGTCAGTTATACAGATCAAGAACAGACGGTACGGTTTCTTCACGAAGATTCGTTTGCTCCAAGGAAGGCTTTCAGCTGAATTCGAGAACCGGCTGCACCGCGTTTATCCGCGTGCAGAGACGGGACACAGGGAAATGGGTGCTTGACCAGATCCAGAAAGAGCATAACCACGAGCTCGGAGGTGAAGTACACGTGGAGGAGACGACTCCACGTCCCTCGAGAGCTCCTGCTCCTACTAAGCTAGCTGTGACTGTTAATCCTCATAGACCGAAGATGAAAGTTGTTGATGAGTCTGATAGAGGACACCGCTCCTGCCCAGCTGCTGCTTCTAAACGCTTCAAAAGCGGTGAAGGAGAAGAGAGCATCGGCGACGAGCAGCCTAAGGCGGTTTCCGGTTCGGAGCCGTACGCAGGGTTGGAGTTTGGTTCGGCAACCGAAGCGTGCCAGTTTTACCAAGCCTACGCGGAGGTCGTTGGGTTTAGAGTTCGGATCGGTCAGCTGTTCCGGTCGAAAGTCGACGGTTCGATCACGTCGAGGCGGTTTGTCTGCTCGAGGGAAGGGTTTCAGCATCCTTCTCGGATGGGGTGTGGAGCTTACATGAGGATCAAAAGACAAGACGCAGGCGGCTGGATCGTGGACCGGCTCAACAAAGACCATAACCACGACGTCGAACCGGGGAAGAAGAACGACGACGGTTTGAAAAAGATCACATCAGACGACGTCACCGGAGGAGGATTAGATTCCGGCGACCTCATCGAGCTAAACGACTTCGGCGGCAACGTCAAGAAGAAGACACGAAGAAACGGAATCGATAAAGAGTGGTATCCTCTGCTTCTCGACTACTTCCAGTCGAAGCAAACAGAGGACATGGGATTCTTCTACGCCGTCGAGCTCGACGTCAGCAGCGGAAGCTGCATGAGCGTTTTCTGGGCGGACAGCAGATCGAGATTCGCGTGCAGCCAGTTCGGAGACGCCGTCGTTTTCGACACTTCGTACAGAAAAGGAAACTACTCTGTTCCGTTCGCTACGTTCATCGGGTTCAACCACCACAGGCAGCCTGTGCTTCTCGGCTGCGGCGTTCTCGCCGACGAGTCGAAAGAGTCGTTCTTGTGGCTGTTCCAAACGTGGCTCCGCGCCATGTCCGGCCGCCGTCCTAAATCCGTCGTGGCTGATCAAGATCCGCCGATTCAGTACGCTCTGTCTCAAGTCTTCCCCGCGGCGCATCATCGTTACTCTGCTTGGCAGATTCGGGAGAAAGAGCGGGAGAATCTCCGGCCGTTTCCGAACGAGTTCAAGTACGAGTACGAGAAATGTTTGTATCAGACTCAGACGACGGTCGAGTTTGACTCGGTTTGGATCGCTCTCATCAACAAGTACGGTCTCAGAGACAACGTCTGGCTCAGAGAGATCTACGAGCAGCGGGAGAACTGGGTTCCGGCGTATCTAAGAGCGAGCTTCTTCGCCGGGATCCCGATAACCGGCACCGTGGATCCCTTCTTCGGCGCTTCGCTCGACGCTTTGACTCCTCTCGGTGAGTTCATTTCCCGGTACGAGCAAGGGCTAGAGCAGAGACGTGAGGAGGAGAGGAAAGAGGATTTCAACTCTTACAACTTGCAGCCGTTTCTTCAGACGAAAGAGCCAGTTGAAGAACAGTGCAGGCGGCTCTACACGTTAACCGTCTTCAGAATCTTCCAGAACGAGCTTGTTCAGTCTTACAACTACCTCTGCTTGAAGACGTACGAGGAAGGAGCGATGAGTAGGTTCCTGGTGAGGAAATGCGGGAACGAGAGCGAGAAGCACGCCGTGACTTTCAGCGCGACGAATCTCAACTCGAGCTGTAGCTGTCAGATGTTTGAGCACGAGGGTTTGCTCTGCAGGCATATCTTGAAAGTGTTTAATCTGTTGGATATAAGAGAGCTTCCGTCTAGGTATATACTTCACCGGTGGACCAAGAACGCGGAGTTTGGGTTTGTGCGTGATATGGAATCAGGCGTGAGCTCTCAGGATCTTAAGGCGTTGATGGTTTGGAGTCTTAGAGAGGCTGCTTCTAAGTATATAGAGTTTGGGACTTCGTCTCTGGAGAAGTATAAGGTTGCTTATGAAATTATGCGCGAGGGTGGGAAGAAACTTTGTTGGCAGAGATGAAATGTAAGATACAATCTTCTTGATCATATGTGTCATGTCTTACTGCATTGGTGTCTGAAAGTTGCTGAAGTTTGTTGTAGGTATGTTTGGTTTACCGTTGAAGAAGAAGATGAAGTCTTGTTCGCCATTCTAATCTTAACCGTGTTGATAACTTCCGTCACTGCAAGAGGTCGCGGTGGAGTTGGGGTCATGGTTGTTCCGGTGATCGATTGATCAATGACATGTTTGTTCTGTGTGTGTGTTTGTTTATGTTGTTCCACAGGATCTGAGTAAGTGAAAGAACATATCAGAATTAGGGTTTTGCTTTCTTGTTTGGGAGGGAAGATACAAACCACGTTTAGAGAATCAAATCGTTTGATGCTAGTAGAAGCGTAGGATGTAATGTAAGAGTAAGATCATATTATCAAATCTCTTTGTTCTTCTCATGCTTTAATTTATTTTATCATTTCAGCTTTTTATTGTTCACAATATAAATATACTGAAACCAAAATTAGTCATTTCAGTTTTGCACTCTCTTCATTCTTTTTCAACGATAATAGAAATTCTTGAACACATTTTTTTCAAATAGTGCCGTATACAATCAGGGTAAAGAATATAGAAAAAGAACAAATATTACACGAGAAAAAAAAAACATCATAACACACAAGACACAACACACAAATTACAAGATCTCAAGCGCTCTGTTTTGTGTAAACCGCTTTTAAGAAGAAAACCAAACCAATAAATCTTTCTCCCCATCTCTCTCAGTTTAGACTCAAACTCTTCCCGTATGAGGCCTGTCTACGGCGACTGTTTCTCCAACTCCTGCGTGAATAGCTCCAGTGCACAATAACTGAGTACCACTCATAATTATTGTCAAAACTTCAAGAGTTCTCTGTAAAACAAAAGTATCAACAAAAAACAAAAACATATTAAATATCCGTAAAAGAAGGATTTTGCAAATTCACATATATAGAAATAAGCTCACTAGATTGGCTTCGGTCCAGCCTATGTTGATCTCCTTGCAGGCCAATCTGCATCAACATCAAATCGGTTTAGATTCGGTTTGGTGTAAGAAGAGTGACAGAAACTGAACCGGATCTAAATCAGGTTTAAATTAATTTAAAACCGGGTGGTAAGCTTTACCCCATGGCAAGGAGAGTGAGAGACCAAGAGATGAGAGAGGAAGCCGCGGCAGAGTGGAGATTTGGAGAGTCCCACTGAAGAACGTTCATGATTCCGGTGAGTGATGTCGCCATTCCGACGACGCCAGCGATCAACGAGAATATTACGAAAAAACCAGTAGCCATGTTCCCAACCGGGAAGTATATCGGAAAGATCTTCGCCGGAAGAGACAGGACAGAAGCTGCAAAACATGACAAAAGATTGATCACCATTCAGTTCTAAATTGTTGAATTGAATAATTCAGAATTATGATCATTTAATTACCGGACTCCCGAGTTCTCTCGATCCCGTGATTAACAGCCCAGGAAGCGATGACGGTGACGACGAAATAGAGACCAAGATTCAATATCAGAAGCATGAAAGCTGCCGATTTTGATCCTCCTGAAGCCATGTCTTTAAGAGGCTCCGAGTTTTCCGACAAACTTCTCAAAAAAACCAGACAGGTCCTTTTTCTATGTCTTTTTCTTGGGATAATCACAAGATCTTTGCATGTCTGTGGATATATATATTTATCCGGATCATAGGAATAGATGTTTCTTCAGCCGAAAGCAATGTTTTTAATTCCTTACGTTGTCCTCAACTTTGGGCAAAGAATCAAATCCAAAGCTTCAATTTTTGCTTATTTGCTGTCTTCTGCTCAGCAGAAGAAAAGAATAGCTAGAGATAGAGAATGAGAATGAGTAAAGCATAAACCCTACTTTTCTCAGGAAAAATCTGTAAGGATGAAACTTTTCCCGGAAAACAGAGAGACAGAAAAAGAAGAAGCTAGCTCTGTTTGAACCTTTCTCGCATAATTTACTTTAAACCAGTAAATTAAAGAATAAAGTGCATACTATCACATTTGTACATTGTTGTTATTCATTCTTCTTACAAGAAAAAAAAAAATGAATCATATTTGCAGCTCTCTAATGCAGAGCTTTGCCATATTTTGCAGGATGATTGTTTTATGATTCAAGAATCTTCAAAGCTAGCTCGGCTAACGAATGGACCGTTCTACTATGACGGCTCACACCAACAGTACCGGAGAAAACATCAAAGTTCTCAAGCTCAGCCGTAGTTTCAAGAACCTTCTCAAGCTCTTTCTCCAGACCCAGCTCTCTAAACACCGCTACATTGTTCTCCACATCATCCTCCATCATCCAAACCGCCAGCTCGATCGCAAACCTCCTGATCCTCGGAACCTTGATCGCCGGCTTGTCGTGCTTTCTAAGAATCGAAACCAACGAGTTCGCTAGTTCCTTCCTCTTGACCCCTGAATCCATGAAAACATAGCTCGAATCCTCCGCACTCATGAATCTAAACACTTGTGCTGCTAATCCCACCATCACTTCCTGAAGTTTATTGTCTTCTGATGTTATTGACTTCAACACCTGCAGCAAAATGACAAACAAGTTTCCACATTTGTACATAAACCATTCAAAAGAGTGTATTATAACTGAATAACTAACCGTTGGTGCAGCTGCTTTAACGAACTTGAGGTCATGGAAGCATTCATCTCCAGAGAACAAGCACAAGTTTCTCAACACTCTTGCAGCGTTAACACGGATCGAAGGAACTTCAAGTGCTTCCACAAGCCTTCCCGTAACACCAAGCCTAAGCACATGTAGACAGTTGCTCTTGCTCTCCAACACAAGCATCGCTATCGCTTCTCCTGCAGCGATCCTCACACCTCCTTCACCCCCATGATCGTCCCTATCTGTGTCCTGTTTCAAGAAAATGTTGAACAGCTCTTTCAACACCCCACCAGTTCCTCCAATTCTCTCCCTTGCTTCCGCCTCAAGCGCTAGGTTCGTCAAGATCCCGATCCCGAGCTTCTGCAGCTTCGGGTATCGCTCACCGTGTCTCAGCACGTCCCTCACGTTGCTCACTGTGAATACAATCTCCGAGATCTCTCTCCGGAGGCATTTCCCTGTGTTCCCTGTTGTACTAGCTAACATTTTCACCAGCTGAAGCGACCGTTTCAGCGTCAGAACCTGCGACCTAGCAACGTCTGCGTTATCATCTCTCAATACAGCTTGGTCCACGTGTGTGAAATCAATAATCTTCGGGAGAAGACCTCTCGTGTTGCCTAGCTTCCCACAGTTGTCGTGATCTTTGGCTAGCTTCTTCAGAAGCAAGAGTCCCAAATTGTTGAATCTATAGAAATCGTAGTGTAGGTTATGGTCATGGAACACTTTCTTCTCTCCAATCTCATCAGGTGCTTCACCTGATGACCTCGTGCTCTCTAACAACGATGAAATCGATTCCATTGCTCCAGAGATCCCAGCGACTCTTAAAGAGTTCTGCTTTTTCCCGGCGAGTTTCGACAGTATCTCAGCCGCTGATCTCCTTATCTCTTCCTCTTGCAGATCTTTCCAATTCAACATCTCCACCAACCTAATCACAAAGAAAAGTTAGCTACTTTATGTAAAAAATCTGAAATTTTGGTTTGTAAAGACCAAACCTTTCGACGACAGGGAAGTTGATTCCGATCTTCTCAAGAGTATCCTCAGAGTAACGTTCATTCACAGAGAACTGCCTGAGAATTCTAGCTCCGATGAGCTGTTCATCGGAAGAGTTTGATCCCAAAAGCTCCATACCAAAGCTCACAATATCCATCTTCAAACCATCAAAGATACTCCCATTGACACACTTTGAGTAAGAATCATAGAAAAACCTCTTGATGGAGACTAAACCAGTAACACCAAACTCACACTCTCTCGTCACGTTCTCAAGCAGATTACAAACACTGACTTGCCACTCCCAATAAGCTTTCTCCATAAGAAACAGCATCGCCTCGGCGAGAGCGAGCGAGTAGAAGATGTTGAGAGCGGATTGTCTGTTCCTCTTGTCCGTGTCTCCTTTGTGTACGTCTCCGTAGTCGTGCTTGACGAGCTTGTATAGAGAGAGAGCCACGCAGGCCGTCGCGGACATTAGCTGGAGCCAGTAGAGGAATCGACTCACTGTGGAGGAGATGAAGAACCATCTCGCGTATGGAAGGAGAGGTACGTCTGAGTTGTTGTTCCACGTCTCGTCGAACGTCGATTCTCGAGCGACGCAGTCTCGTGACGTCGTCGCTTCTCGAGATCGGTTGCCTAGAATCGGCATGAAGATCGATGCACTGCAGAGAAAATCGCAAACGATTATTCATCAAGTGTAATTCGAATTTCGGATTGATTCGTGTTCGATTATGCGAAATTTGAAAAAAAACCTGATTTGTTTTAGATTCCTGAGAAGTGAAGCGGAGCTTGATCGGAGAGCGCGGAAGCTGCTGAGTCCGACGCCGGCGACGGTCCACGTGGCTTGGTGCTGCCATTCGAGCTCGTGGCTTCTGCTGAAGATTCGAGCACCTTCGATTAGGAGAATGATGGTGATGAACCAGAAATCGGAACCGTCGAGCGTGATCGCGAAGCCGCCGAGAAGAACCACCGTAGCCCAGATAAACCCAAGGGTTCCGATTCCGGTGGCGGTTTTCTCGAGAATCGCGAGTTTTAGAGCGAATAGCGTCAGCTTCTTCTCCGGTGCTGGGACCGTTGATTTTCTCCGAAACGCGGTCGCGGAGGAGACAGAAGCTGCGTCTGCGGTTTCGCCGCTATCTCCTTTCTCAATACTGCTTCTAAGATCGAAAACGGTGTCGTTTGAGCCTCTAGCTTCCTCCAGTTTATGAAGCTCCGACACCTATACAAAAATGAAGAGGACAATGTTAATATTATGTCAAATGCACAAGGCATTAGTTAAAAAGGAAATTAATGTGACAAAAACCTGCAAACGAATGCTTCGATCTTCTTCTTCTCTGAACCTCCTTGAATCCATTACAAATCTTTCGTTGTTTTTACTCTGTCTAAACCGCCCAAGGAAAAGTTTCTATTTTTCTTTTGTTCTTTGTCTTTTATGAAAAGTAACGACTTGAGGAGTTGTTGATGATGCAGAGAAATGAGGAAAGTGTGATTTTACATTATTCATCTATATATATATAGAGATTTATATATATATAGAGAGATTGCTAGAGAAGGAGAGGAGAGAGGGAGGGAAACAAATAAGCAAAGCAGTAGAGAGAAAGTCTGCAAATAAGCTAAAAAACGCAAGAGGAAATGTGCAAGAAAGTGTAACTTGAAGATAATTGGTGTATTGTATGCTTCACCCTGCAATTTCATGACCAAAAGTTACATTTAACAACAAAAAAAGCACTACTTTTATGACATGGTACAATACAACCATCCTCGTTATAGTTTATACCTTAAACTTAAATGGGTCAATTTCTCTTTATTTTGTTTTTTCCTCTTATCATAGTATTCCAAAAGTTGCTAATATTATGGTAGTTATATGTTGCATGACTTATCCTTATCAAAGCAGCCCTGACTTTTGTTTTTACTCCATCAAGGTGTTAGCCTGTTAAGCAAGAATTAAACAATACTTAATGAACATATACTAGTTTTAGAATCAAATATGATCAGTTGTTTGTTGTCCCTACATCAGTAATTGGAAATTTTACTTTCCGTCTTTATGTTAAAGAGTCTAAAATGCTGAAATCTCATATTTACAAACTTTTCAGTTATTGTCCATTTGTCCTTACATCAATGATTGGATAGTTCGTTTGCCGCCTATATGTTAAGAAAAGCCGTGATTCGTACTTACGATTACAGGTTAAAACATTAAGTTTGCTTTGTATTTGCGTCTAGAATTTCTAGAAATATGTTTGGTAAAGATATGATATCTTTTTTTTTTTAAACGTAAACATATTTTTTAAACGTAAACGCAAAAGAATAGGAGAAAATCTACAATCATTAACATTGGTTTTTATGTTACGTGGCCAATTAACTTATTAGTCTATTACTCTAGTTATTGAGTAGGCCTAGTTTTCAAGAACTCTTGTAACAAAATGGTTGAAGATTTGTATTTGTTGTTTTAGATAAGTGACGAATTGTGGTACTTAAAAAGCTAACGCACGCAAATGAAATGTAAACTGTGATTAAAATATAATTAGTGAGTCAATAACTCGGTGGAGAGTAATTTGTGACTTGCAAGCATATTGGTTCCAGCAGAAGTCTTCTTGTGTGAAGCTAAAGGCTCCAATGGGATCCTCTCTTTTGGACCCACTTAATCCTCTCTGTCTGTTGAAATAAAAAGGCATACTTTCCATTAAAGATATCATTAAGAGATAACTAAATCTAGGAATCTGTAAAATCAATATACTAATCAATAACAGAAACACAAATTCTGTGTTTATTGTATCAGTATCAGCTTTAGGTGTTGCTAATCTCATTACGAGCCATCTTCCTCACATGCAAGTACAACGAGTTTTAGATTACAAAACAGAGAAAATGGGAATTGCTTTCAAAAAGCAAAGTACAAATGAAATACAATAAAATCCTGACAATTCTCTGACGCACTTTAGATTTCTCAGCATCAATAATAGATTCAACACGCTTAACCGAATCTTCAAGCTTCCCTTTCGCATTCACCACTACGTAATCAAAATCCTTGACATGCCTAATCTCTTCTCTCGCCGTCGTAACTCTAACAAGCAACTCCTCATGACTCTCCGTTCTCCGATCAACCAACCTCTCAACCATCGCAAGCTCACTCTCCGCCACGAGGAATACAAACACCGCTGAGTTCCCAAGAATCTTCCTTAGCGTCTGAGCTCCTTGAACGTCGACTCTCAAAACAATATCACACCCTTTAGCCATGAAGTCCTGAATCTGCTTCTTAGGGATCCCTTTGTAATCGCCGTAAACTAGAGCGTGCTCGAGAAGCTCATCTTTCTCCACCATTGACAAAAACTCATCTTTCGAGACGAAGAAGTAATCTCTCCCGTCGATCTCTCCTGGACGCATCGGACGGCTCGTAGCAGTCACCACAAAATGTAAACTTTCACGAGCTTCTCGGAGTTTGTTAATCACCGCATCTTTTCCGACGCCGCTTGCTCCGCTGATCACGATGATTAGAGGGTTTGGTGGAGGAGTTATCGGATCGACGCTGAAAGAAGAACCCAGATGGAACTCAAGCGCGCGAAGCAATTCAGGCTTGGTGGGGGACGGAATCGCCGGAGAATTAGAGTTTAAAGTCGAATCGGACATTTTCAAGGAGAAAGAGTGAAGAAGAGAAGATTGTGGATAAGATCCTAATTTGAAGATGGGTTTGGTAGAAATCGGGAAGATTGTGGAACGGGAGAGAGAAGAAGAGAGCTTTCGAAACATCTGAGGAGTAAAAGAGGAGCCTTTGGATTAGGGTTAACGAGAATCGCTCGTGGAGAGGTTCCTTTCGGTCGGAGTTGGCGCCGGTGCTGACCCGACCCTGACCCACTCATCTTCTCGACGGTTCGGTTTTTTATTTATTTTATTTTAATCTGTAACAACCTTTTTTTGCGCCAAAAAAATACAAAAATCAAACCCAATGGATTTGTTAAACAAAGGGCCCAATAATGACGCAAAGAGGTGCGAATGCGAAGCAGCAATAACTTGAAAAAGGAAATTAAAGACAATTGACATCTCTATTTTCGTGCACATTAACATTTGCACGTAAATGATTTTAATTTGAGACAATTCACATCTCCTAACTTGTGTCTTAAAACCTCCTCATATCACTTTCTCTCATTCTCTTCTTCTTCTTCCTCTCTTTCCTTTTCGTTTCCACCGACGTCATCGATCTATCATTTGGCTCGATCTCCGCCGGAGATTTTCGCGCCGATTATCAATTCCGTTTTGTTTCCCTCCGATTCCGGTTACCGGATTCGTGTATACGTGATTTCATTCAAAACCCCCAATTCTTTTGTTTCTCTCTTCCTGGAATTAATTGACCTCGATTTCGATTCTTCCCGGATTTTCATTTCCCTCTTGAATTAGTCACGAGGGGAGGAGTAAATTCCAGATCTTTTCCGATTTGGGACCAACCAACCGTCGTAAAGTTTTCGAGATCCCGTCTCTGTTGATGGGCGCAACTAGGGTTTGCGCGGAGGTTTCGAAATCGCTAAGCCAGCCGCTCACGGTGTCTACCTCTAGCACGGAAACCGTCAATGGCTTTCACGAATTCAAGATCGGCGGCTACTCTCTCACCAAAGGCATTGGCGTCGGCAAATACGTCGCCTCCGACACGTTCATGGTCGGCGGCTACTCGTGGGCTATCTACTTCTACCCAGACGGAAAGTCTCCGGAGGATAACTCGGCTTACGTCTCTCTGTTCATAGCTCTCGCTAGCGAAGGAGCTGATGTTAGGGCTCTGTTCGAGCTCACGCTCGTCGATCAGAGTGATAATGGAAAGCACAAAATCCATACCCATTTCGGCAGAGCTCTCGAGAGCGGTCCCTATACTCTCAAGTATCGTGGAAGCATGTGGTGAGTCAATTCTCTCTCTCTCTATCCCTATAAAGTCTCAAGCTTTGAATGTTGATAATGAAATTGATGGTTGATTTGGTTCAGGGGATACAAGCGGTTTTTCAGGAGGACGAGTCTAGAATCATCAGACTATCTGAAGGACAATAGGCTCTTGGTTCGGTGCCGTGTTGGTGTGGTGAAGTCGCGTACCGAAGGACCGAGGAGTTGCAGTATCCCTGTGCCTGTATCTAACTTGGGCCAACAGTTGGGGAATCTTTTGGAAAGTGGGAAAGGCTGTGATGTTACATTCGAAGTCGATGGAGAAACGTTCGCTGCGCATAAACTGGTTCTTGCAACGCGTTCTCCAGTGTTCAAGGCACAGCTTTTTGGCCCGTTGAAAGACAGAAATACAGAGTTCGTAGTGATAGAAGACATGGAAGCACCCATTTTCAAGGTCCGATCTTTAACTCTCTTCTCTGGGATTTACTTCTGTTTGATCTTTGGGAATGTGTAAGTAGATAGATATCTATAGGGTCTTAAAAGGTCTTATTAGGAAGATTTAGATTTCTTGGTTCCTTGCCTTTTCTTTTCGGGTGAGTGATCATGGTGTCATACAGGATTTTCTGTTCACTGGATCTTCTCCTGGGGGCTCTACTCCTGTTCTCGAGTTTACTCACCCGGGACAAGGTTCTTTCCTTCTGCTTCTCTTCCTTATTGGTTGGTTGCATGAATGTCTGTTGCCTGTTGGTGAACAAATTGAAACTTTTAGCATATTTGAGAGTTTGGCTTGTGTTTTTTATGTTATCCCTTAGTATAGGTCCTATAAGTCCCTTCGAGTTTATTGGTTCTTGATTTATGTTGAGATCCTCTCACTCTTGGTGATATTGATGTAGATGTGTGTATATTGCTCTTTGTGCAGGTGTTGCTCCATTTTATCTACTGGGACGAATTGCCTGATATGCAAGAGTTAATTGGCACAGACTCTAAATCAGCTTCGACGCTTGTGGCTCAGCATCTGCTAGCAGCAGCAGACCGTTATGCCATTGAGCGGCTTAAAGCCATCTGCGAGTCACAACTCTGTGAAGGGATCGCCATAAACACTGTTGCAACAACCTTGGCCCTAGCGGAGCAGCATCATTGTTCCCAGCTTAAAGCAGTCTGTCTCAAATTTGTCGCATTGCCAGAGAACCTGAAAGGTAAACTATCTGCGAAACCGATCTGAGTTTTAACTCTCTGCTCATGAAGTGAGACTTATCTTATGTTCCTTGTTGTTGTTTTATCAGCTGTGATGCAAACAGATGGGTTTGATTACCTGAAAAAGAGCTGCCCATCTTTACTGACTGAGCTATTGGGGTACGTGGCGAGGCTTGGTGAGCACTCTGTTATAGCATCTGGACATCGGAAAGAGATATTTGCTGATGGTTGTGATGCGAGCGGAAGACGAGTGAAGCAGCGGTTGCATTGAAACAAAATTGTGCATTGTATAATCTCTGTTAAGGATAATGGCTGATCTGTTCTTGATCTAGCAAGTACAACGAATCTTTTTCAGTGTTTTCTATTAAAAAATCAATGATCTAATGGAATTTGGAGACTAATCTTGTCTTTTTATCAGAGTACTACTTATTCATTTCTAAAAGGATAAGAATGTGAATACAATATAGATGTGTTACAACGTAGATAGACAAAAGGTCGTAGAACAAATTACATGCCAGTATGTGTCAGAAAAATCTTTACTTCTTGATCTTCTCACAACTCTTTCTTGATTCAAAGGGCTTCTCTAGTTTACCTCTCCCTGTGACGTAGTGGAAGAGAGCTTCTTCTTCTGGACCCAAAACATGATCTTAGTACCAGCGACTCATTGCAGTGTCTTGTGCTGCAGCAACTTTCTGTGGTATATACTGAGGGTTTTGTGTCAATCTGCTTGGACCTTCGGCGGAGGCAGCGCAGTCTTCATCTCCTCTGTTACTTTTACAAACTTGACTTCTCTTTGGGTATTGAGCCGCAGCAGCACCAGCAGGGTTTCTGACCATCCTACGCTGTTGTTGTTCGAGAGCTTCAACGCCTGTAGCTGCGCCGCAGTTGTTGTAGCGTAACACTGACCCAACTACTTTCCCAGGCCTAGCTACCGCTGCCGCACCTGCTTCATTACAACAAGAAAAATGTTCAGATAACAGAGAAGCTCTGTATCATGTATAACATCATCATATACCGTTAGAGTTAAAGACCTTGGATCGTTTGAGGTACGTTTATAGGAACTCTCGACATTGGCACCTGAGCATTCCTGTCTGCACCTCGAGGTCTCTCTGTATCTCTGATGCTACACTTGGAGAGTCCATCAGTGACTTCAACTGAACTCTGTTGTGCCACCGCAGGATTGTTGTCATCAGAGTACAAAACGCAAGCCCTGCAAAAGACACAAAACATAAAAAAGAGATTACTTCATTGTGCTGTTTAGAAAGAATTCCAAATCATCAAATGTTTAAAAGAAGTATAGCATACCTAGGTAATGATGCATGCTGCTGCCTCTCAGGGGGATTATGAGAAGTACCATTCTTGTAGTGTTCCTCGAGGTACGCAAACTGTTTCTTGAAATGCTCCACCGCACTGCAGAATGAATAATAATACATTACCCAAAAGATCATGGACGAGTACACAAGAGTATATAGATATGAAGCAGGTCAGCTCAGGATGGTACCTTGGGTACATAAAGTTAGTTGGCTCTGATCCATCCAAGTATTCTTTCAGCATTTTTGGGTGGTACTCAAGAGACTCTCTGTATATGAGCTCTCGCACGTCTTCTTTTGTGATCCTCCGCCTCTCAAACTCGAATTCCAGCTTCGTGACAGGTTGAGCAGAGGGCTCTCTTTCAACCTTAGCTAAACCTTTGAAGTACGGATCCGCAAGCGCCTGTAGGGTAACACATAAAACCATCATTTTAGTTGAATACAACCAAACTTGCTTTGTAAAGAGTGTAATGAACGAAATGTGTAAAGCAACCTCTTCAGCTGTAGGCCGATCTCTAGGTTCAAAGGACAACATCTTTTCTAGAAGACGCAGTGCAAGAGGATCAGTATGTGGGAACTTATGTGAAAAGGGAACAGGCTTCTTCTTCCTCATGCTGCTTAAGTATCTTCGAGCTTTCTCGTTTCTCACCTGTTCGCAATCAGTTCAAAAAATTCAGTAAAGAAAAGAAACAGTAAAGCTCGTGTTAAGCAATTGTTTATAAGAGACACTGACCCTTCCAATGGCTTCCGCAGATGGGGTTCCCAACATATCAGTCATCAGATCCAATTGATGGACCACATTTTTCCCAGGGAATAGAGGTTTCCCTGTTAAGAGCTCTGCAAAAATGCACCCTATGCTCCATATATCTATCGCCGGTGTATACTGAAGATAAGCATAGATAAAGAAAGCTTCAGTGACTAATGTTCACTATAAGAATTTGAATCATTTGATGAAATAAACAATGTAAGAAAAATCATAGTCACCTTTGAGAAAAAGGATCCACACAATTCTGGAGCCCTGTACCATCGAGTTGCTACATAGTCCTAAGAGATCACAAAGCAATAAGATACAAATTGGTTTCATGCCAAATAGGATAAAGACTAGGCATTGTATTACACTACTCACAGTCCAGAATATTGCAGTTGGTGTATCATTGAATGCGACTCTCGCGAGTCCAAAATCACAAATCTTGAGTTTGCAATCAGCATTTGCCAATATGTTTTTCGGTTTCAGATCCCGATGAAAGACATTAGCTGAAACCAAAACAAAAAAAATTCAAATCAAGAAAAAAACAACTAAAACTTATACTAACAAACACCTCTGAAAAAAATTTGCAAGCTTAACCTGTGTGTATATACTTGAGGCCACGAAGAAGCTGATAGAGGAAAAACTGGTAATGCTCAGGAGTCAAATCATCGTTGGCCTTAATAACCTGATGAAGATCAGATTCCATGAGCTCGAAAACCACGTAAATGTCTCTGAACTCTCTTCTCGAAGGCGGCAAAAGGATGTGTTTGATCTCGACAATGTCAGGATGGCGCAAGAGCCTGAGAAGCTTGATCTCGCGGAGAATGCGCGTCGCGTCGGAGACATGCTCGAAGATGTCGTTGATCTTCTTGATCGCGACTTTCTCTCCAGTGTGTGTGTCGTAAGCCGAGCAGACGACTCCGTAGCTTCCTTTGCCGATCACTTCCTCGATTCTGTATCTGCTTCCTTCACCGTACTCCGTGAAGAAATCTAATTCCACCGATGACTGAGTATGCACAAAAACGAAGAGCAAGCACTAACTATAAGTAACATAATCGGATCTCAAATCTGAAAATCTCTTAGATAGAAAATTCCGAACCTTTTTACGCTGATCAGGCTGCATCTTCAGCTACAGTGTATCCAAAATGAATCACTTGTAAAACCCGAATTAGTGAGATTCGAATCGAGACGACGACGGAGAAATGAAATTATTGAGATCGAGTGTGACACAGAATCTAACAAATAGCTAACAAGGCAATGTCAAAACTCAAAACTCAAAACCCAGAGCTCTTTTTTTATTTTACGAAATCTCTAAATCCAGAATCGAGCGGAACGAGAATGAAACGAATCAAAACAGTTCTCGAAAAGAGAGGAAGTTTCTAGGGTGGAAACAAACGAATACCTAAACGAGATTTCGTTGCTTTTACAGTGAAATCAAAGGGATCAGAAAAAGTAAGAAATGGAAGCGAAAAAAAATCTAGCTGGGTAATTTGGAATCTCTTCTTCGATCAATCACTCTGAAATAGGGGGAAAAGGGAGAAGAAGAAGGAGATAGCTGTTCGAAGCTGAGAGAAGCGTTTTATGCTTCAAAAAACCTAGTTACCAAAAATGATTCCGTGTGCTTGCAAGTTACAAGTTTCCTTTGGATCTGAATCTCACAAGGCGAGCAAGAGGTGTAGATAGAGAAGAAGAGAGAGAGGTAGAAGAAGAGGAGAGTTTCTTCTCTCTTTGTGGAAGAAAGTGAAGCAGAGAGATCTAAATTCTCTATATGATGAAGAAGAAGAACACCGAAACAGAACAAGTATTAATATGGTTTTTTATTTTGTTTTTGCTTTTTGTGATAATTGAAAAAGCAGATAAGTGGAGTCTGATTATCCTACTAGGAAATGTCTAATTTGCCCTAAGGTTTATGGGTACTCGCGACTTTGATAAACTAGCTTTGGATAATGTCCAAAGGACGAATATTATAGTTTGGATATTTTTGAATAAACTATTGTTTTTATGATCCATCTATTATGTGATTAATAATGTATACTTATTATCATATTACAATTAGTATAGCTAAGAGAAAAATTATTTTCAAACATATTTAATGCATAAAAATATCTTAAGTTTCAGAATTCAACAATTTTATTTTTTAGAAAGTGGAATATGACAGATAAAGAAAATATTCTTATAACCAAAAAAGTAAAGATAATATTGCACATATTTTTAACTATTTGAAGACAACATGTGTGAACTGTGTACAAGATACTTATAAAATTTGTATACGCAACATCCACTTTTATATTTTTTTCAGGTATGTATATTCATATTTTCTCTGTTTATTTTCTAAATTGTTTTCGAATTAATTTTTCTTTTATTATGGTATATCTTTAAATTTCTTCATTGTCAATTAAAAAATATTCATTGGGCAGAGATATATTCAAAAGATTAAATTAATTGAAATGGTGGAAAATCTTTAAAATGAAAATATTAGTAAAATTAAGAAATGAATCTTTTAGGAAACATGAAAGGATTTTTGTTTGTTAGAGGTCAATAGAAAAAAAGATTTTCTTTCTTCTTTGTCAAAAGCAATATTTACAATCTTTTTTTACATAGTAAAAAATTTAAATCGTTATAACTTTTGGCTGGCCAAATAAAACCATCGTTATAAACAAATCAGTGGAGAACGAAGAAGGGTCACGAAGGACCGTGGAAATGCTTCAGTCCATGTGCATCACATGACTTTTATTATTATGTTGTAACTTAAAATACTTAAAAATATGGAGTAATAATTATCTTTTCTTTTGTTCTTAACTTCTGATTATTTCTTTGCTGCATTAATAAAAGGTTATCTCTGGATCATCTCTAAAGCTTCAGTGCTGAAAGATTCAAATCAATGTAACTAATCATGCATTTTAGATTAAACTCGTTGATGAAAAAAAAAAAAGATTAAACTCGTTATTAGAAGTTAACAACAAGACCCATTAATCAGAGTACGATTGTTATTAGTTTCATTATTTAAAAATAAGCGCTGATGAAACAGTTTTTTCCCTCCATTTTAATCAATATCAAAGATAATTAGAAGTAAGTAATCTAATAAAATCTTGCATGAAGGAAAAAAAAATAAGAGAAAGAATATTTTATTCTGACTTCTAAGTTCTGAAAAAACACACGCGCTTTTGTTCGGGCAGCAAAGAGCCAGCTCAGCTTAGGTGGACCCACAATAAAAAAAAACACGAACTGACCAAAGTGCAGACGCGTTATCCAAACCATCTTCTCGTGTTATCATCCACGCGCCACTTAATCTCACTATTCTACTGGGCCCCATACAAAAGCCCATACAACAAGCCCACTAAAAAGTCAAAGCAATCCACTATAGAGCCTTAAATAAAGTCGAAACAATCAATCACACAACACCACTGAAGGCACGTGACCACTCAACATCCTTTGTTCGCATCTCTTCTCTGACCAAAGCTACATCTTCCCACCTCCCTGCGTCTGCATAAACGTTCGAAAGCAGCACTTTGCAACCACCGTGAGAAGGATCGATCGCCGCCAGCTCAGCAGCCGCCACTTCAGCCACGTCGACGTTCCCGTGAATCCGTGAAGCCGATAACAACATTCCCCATATGATCACATCCGCCTTCACCGGCATCTTCTTGATCATCTCTTTCGCTTCCTCTAACCTCCCAGCTTTCCCCAACAAATCAACCATACATCCATAATGCTTTACGTCTGGCTCAATCCCGTAAACGCTCTTCATGCTCTCCAAACACGTTTTACCAAAATCCACGAGCCCCGCGTGGCAGCAAGCGCTCAAGACACCGACAAACGTGATGCTGTTCGGTTTGATCGGGAGAGATTGGAGTTCGGAGTAGAGATCAAGCGCTAGTTTGGCATGACCATGTGTCGCTGAACCGCAAATGATAGCGTTCCAGGGAGAGATTGCTGAAGAAGAAACGTTCTTGGTTCGGCGGAAAACGTTAAGAGCGGTCTCGATGCTTCCACATTTGGCGTACATGTCGATTACAGCAGCGGTTAGATTGTCGTTGGGAGGAATCGAGCTACGGTTTAGATACTCGTGCGCTCTTTTCCCTTCTTCCAACGATCCAAGCGATGAAATCGCAGAGAAAACACTCACCATTGTGATTGCATCTGGTTTTATTCGGCTGCTATTGATCATTTCCTGGAAGAGCTCTAAAGCCAAGTGAGGCCAAAGACTCTGCGCGTAACCCGAGATCATACCGTTCCAGGAAAATATATCTTTATCACGAGTCTGATCAAACACGTCCTTCGCTTGCTCAACCATTCCATTCTTCACAAATCCTGCAATCAACGCGTTTCTAGACGCAACGTGGTCCTTAACGCTCGCATCAAACTGCTGAAGAGCGAGTTGCATGTTGTTAGACACAGCGTAGAAATGTATGACCGTTGCTTGTATGAAATCGTAACAATCGAAACCCGTCTTCACGATAATACCGTGAAGCTGCAAACCCTTGGAGCTACCAGCTGATCGAGCCGAAGCAGAGAGAAGATCCACCATCATCACTTCACTAGGCTTCATCCCACGGCGCAACATCTCTACATAGAAACCCAACGCTTCGTCGAGACGATTCTTTCGGAGACACCCATCAATCATCGTGCCCCACGACACAATATCTTTCTCAGTGATCTGATCGAACAATCCCTTCGCTTCTTCTATAAGCCCAGCTTTTGAGTACCCATTTAACATCACGTTCCAAGTAACTAAATTTCTCTCAAGCATTTCGTCGAACAACTTCCGAGCATCTTTCAAACATGAGCATACACAGTACATAAGCAGCAAATTCGTCGCAACAAAGACCCGATCGTGGCGATTCAGCTTCGTTGCCAATCCCTGCAACATCCTGCAATCCCAGATCCCACCCAAATGCGAACAAGCGGATACAACAGTAGCTAATGTCACTTCGTTTAGCGAAATTCCGTAACTTCTCATCTCTCGGAAAAGCTCCATCGCTTCACTCCACCGATCGTTTTGCGCGTAGCCCTTTATCAACGTAGTATACGAGACGCAGCTTCTCTCAGGCATAACGTCGAACAGGTTTAGCGCGTCATCGAGTCGGCGAGATCTTACGTATCCATCGACCATGATATTGAACGAAGCTGAGTCAAGCTTCGTATGGGCCCGGAAAACAGATTCCGCGTCGGTCAAGAGAGAGCATTTAGCGTACATGTTGAGGACGCTGTTGCAGATGAATCCATTGGAATCGAAACCGGATTTCAACACACGGCAATGGATTTGTCGGCCACAAGTGACGTCCTTGGTGGAGGCGCATGATCCAAGAGCGGAGACGAGAGCTCGCTCAGTATCGTGACTCTCGCCGGAGAAGTCGAAATGGGTCCGACTTTGAGCCGTCGTTGATGGTCGAGGTCTTGGCGTGATCGAAGCGGAGAAACATCTCGCCTGCTGAGGAGAAAAGACTCGACAGCGACGAGAGTCACGAGACCCGAGAAGACGAATCGATTTGATCATAAGAGACCATGAGAGCAAAATGCTAAAACTTTAAGCTCGAGGTTTTATACTTCTCCTTCGTCTTCTAAAGCTCACAGAGTGTTTGTTCAGCCAAAGAAAAGAAACATTTTTTATGTATAACGAAAAGGCATTTGATTTGATCATTCATTCGCATTGGAATTTTTTATAAGTTTATAGTTTTCCCACAGAGGAAGTGTTCAAAGAGTAGTAACAAGACATATCTCTAGTTTCAGGGATTAACTCTATAGGATCAATCATTTATATTTTTCCGCCTAATCCTAAATGAATGTAATCCGAGAAGAAGAAGAACCTGCAACAATTGTTTTTCTGCAACTTCAACATTTTAATGTTATAATCTGTAAGTATAAATGGAAGAGCTTCTCCCGATCAGTGTACACATCCATTTACACACAATTTTGCCGGCGATCTGCAGAGGATAGAGCACACGAACTGGTCAAGACAGATCAAAGAAAAAAAAAACGTACAAGCGAAGTAAAATACGTACACTAAAGAAGATTGAAAACCATATACTAAATCACAGTGAGCCAAAATGGAATACAAAAGCTTTACTATAATCAAGAATCATTTCTTTACTTCTAACTCTAAATCTGATCCTAAAGTTTGAACCTTTTGACATCTCATTATCCAATAAATCCAGTTGATCTATTACACAAGGTCCTTGAACTGAGGATGATGAACTTTACACAGCTACGTAAACGTGAAATTGGGGAGATTGCAGCTGGGTACATGATGATGCACATGGTTCCATATTAATGGCTGCATGTGCGTTAAGCTCATTTCAACCAATTTAACGGTATAGTGATCCAGACACAGACAAGCATTACATCAAACAACTAAAGTCATGTTCACATGTTTCTCTTTCATTTCTCCAAAAAAAGAACAAGATTCAATCTGCTAAAAACCACAGCATGGCTTTGAAAAGCATAACCACAAAAACTACTCATTAATCCACAAATTGACAACTCCAAATTCATCATTACAACTTGAATAAGCCAAAAACCTACTCACCATTATCCATAAGAACAAGTAAGTATCAAAGCCTAAGGCTGTCTAAAAATCCATAGCCAATGAGGAATACATAACCAGATATGTTCACTAGTAACTGGTCTGAGGTCTCAAACTGATCAATGGCAACCAAAAACGTTGCATGAACATGATAAATCCGAATTGCATTAAACCTACAAACTCACTAGTCACCAAATTCCAAAACTGATCAATGTAGCCAAAATCAAGACTTACTTTTTAATATGACGCCGACTTCTCTTAGGTCCCCAGCCTTCGAGCTTAGCAACTGGACAGCCACACCTTGATCGGAAAAGCAAGACAGCTCGGCCATTAGTTGGAGCCATCTTCCTCAGCTCCGCTCTCAAACACTCGTAATCAGTGTTGCTCTCGCTGCCTCCTTTCCAAGGCAACCGATCAATCATCTTACTCGATCCCGATTTGACGGATTCCTCCGTCTGCAGCTGCAAATCAAACTCCATCGCCTTCTTCAGCCCCTTGCATTTGGGGTTACGGCACTTCCTCGATCTCGACCCGCAACACAGGTCGAAAAACGCAACCGACGCCGCGACGGAGACTGCGATGGTGAAGAATAGATACGCCCGAAGGAATCCTGACGGGGTTTCGTCGTCGTCGTCGTCGTCGTGATCGGAGAGGAAGGTCAGAGGGAGGAGGGATGAGAACGAGAGGGCGAGTGAGGGGAAATGGGAGGAGAGGAGAGACAGGGAGTGGATTAGGTAGGACAAGTAGGAGGAGAGGAGGAAAGCGCCGGAGAAGAGGACGAGGATTAGGATTAGGAGGTCGAGAGTCGCCGACGGAGAATGCTTGCAGAAATGAAGGGAGGAGGAGGATGAGGTGTGGTTGGCGGCGGATCTAGAGGCGACGGAGGAAGGGGGCATGCTGGTGGAATCGTCTTCGGAGGCGGGGGAGGAGACAAGGAGGAGATTGAGCATGTTAGGAGGAGGACGACGGTGGACGGTTTATCTCAAGCGGTGGCTTGAGAGGGGCCAATGCCTCCTTTACATATAAGTCTCTGTGTGTCTATAGGTTTGGCAGTAAAATTACTTTTGAAGGATTCTTTATAAAATAATTTATAAATACTTCAAAATGTAATGAAAGTCAGGAGAGGAGTAATTAACTATTGTGAGTACTAATTTACACGAAAACATTTAGAAAACTATAGTAGTATTATTATTGTCTTACTCAAATATGTTTTCTGAATAAAAAATTTATTCAACTACATTTATTTTTATTTTTTAAAAAACACGAAAACAAGAATAAAGTGGCCGACACTGCTCGACCGGTATGGTACGAATTTGACAAAAGAATAAGATTAACACATAGAAGTTTGTTTTGCATCGTTCAAAAAACATGAATTGACAATTTCACTTTTGTGTATCAGAGAAGAAGTCTTTAGATGTTAAGACAAAAAGTGATGAAGTTCTTCTCCTTATCAGTACTTTAATGTCTTTTTTTTGCTTGTACTCTAATGTCTTGTTTTCCTTGAAATACACATATTAAATGTTGAATCGTTGTTTTTCTTTTTAAAAAAACTTTTTGGTCACGCTATTTGAAAATTTCCATATGTAAAAAGATAAATTTCGTGGGACAACTAATAATTGGGTCCTTTAGAATTCGAGTTTTATTACATTCGCTCTTAAAACTCTAAAAGTACAAGATCAGTTATTTACAAAAAGAGAAATCGGAATGTGATCTCCGGCTCCGGGACAATCCAGGCTGGCCAAATTTAACAAGAATAAACCTGCCATCAAAGAACTAAACCAAAAAACCAGTATCAAAGAATGAACATGCGGCACTGAATCTACAAAGAAGCTTTAGTAATAATACCTTTCCGTTCATGGCTTCCACAGCCAACTGTGCATCTTCTTTCTTGTTAAACCAGACATAGCCATATCCTAGAGACTGCTGAGTCCTTTCGTTTATGATGATTTTTACTGCCAATAAACATAGTGTTGCACGGTAAGAAAATTAAGATCGTGCTGGTTTCTGACTTATTACTTGACCAAGATCGAACAGTCGCAAATTAACAACGAGGTCCAAATTCGACCCAAAACCTCCCTAACTCAAGCCTATTAGCCTAGCAACTGTTTTACAACGTAACCTATTGACTATATTCAATGCTCTTTTACAAGATTTCCTCTAGGAAGCTGAAATGTGATTGACTACACAGAAAATAAACAGGCCAAGACAGAGAGAGTGTGAGAGAGAGAGAGAGAGACTGACCATTGCAAACTTCTCCAAACTCGGAGAAGACCTTTCTTAAACGCCCTTCACTCACTGAATCCGGAAAGCCTGTAGATTATAATCATATTGGAAACGGATTCAGTGTCGTATTTTAATCTTGGCGGGATTTGAAGATTAAGGAATTAAATCAGATGTACCTTTCACGAAAACCGACGAGATCGAAGTAGAGAGAGAAGAAGATGCTTCTCTGGTTCCATCATCCGATATATCTCCGGCGATGCATCTGATGGTCCGGAGAGGAGAACCGGGTTTGATTTTAGTCGCATGAAATGACGAAATCAAAGGGAATTTGGGGATTTCCGTCGTCGGAAAAATAAGTTTACCCGGGCTTTGACATGTTCCGACGAATTGATGTTTCTGCAACTGTGTCTGGAGCGTCGGTGTAAAGGACGACTGAGACAGTGCCATCGCCGGCGAGATTTCCTTCAGCTAAATGACGAACTTCTTTTATTTTCTGATATCATTATCGGTTTAGTTAGCACTGTTTATTTTGGGCCCTAAACTTTTGACCCATTTTAAGCGTAAATTATATCTCAGGGCCTAATATTTCGGCCCATATGCAAAGTTTGTTTTTTCGTGTACAAAGTCAATAACTTATCAACCTTTATTGAATTGCAGAATTCATGTTTTAGATTAACAGCAACAAAATGAGGAATTAACAACTAACAAAATGAGTTGAAAAAACTTTCCGAGAAAAATGTAGGTTCAGTGTAAATAGAATCTAACTTCCCAAAAAGGCCACAAGTAGGGAGAAATATCTTGAAAGATTTTGGTTGGCCAAAAAAATCCTGGAGATAGGAAACTGAAAAACAAAAACAAAGTTGTAGGAATGAAATATTGGAATAAACATTACAAAAAACTAAAAAACAAAAGAAGAGCATTTAGAATAGATTCTTGCTATATATAACTAATTCTAATATAACACTATTGTACTCTGATTGTATTTCCTTAACTCCTTGTCGTATAAATGGTGTGTCTTAAAGAAAAGATCAATCGGCTTAAAGGTTAAAACCAACAAAAATAAATAAAACTATACGGCCGATCTTGATTATAAACTTAAAATATCGTAAATGCATTTCTAGATCAAAATTTTAATTTAGTCTTCTCAGCCAGAAAGGAAACGAAAAAAACAAACACTCTTGTAGTGGACCTAGTGGTCGAAATTTTCGATTCTTAAGTTGCCCTAATTTGCGATGTTCTTTCATAATTAAACGACACTGCATACTTCCACGGTTCCACTAATAATCTAATACCAAATGAGAATAAAGATTATTAGCAACTTGTCTTATAGACATAATTAATCTCTAATTAATCATTGCCCCATAAACTGTCTTTAAATTCCAAAGGTGATGAGACTAAACTGACTAATGCATGCATCTTTCCATATTTCGTGTAAATTATTCACCGGTAGATGATTTGAAGAATACTTTAATGACTGATTTGAAAGTACATATAAGTGGAACATATATACTTTACTTAGCCTAAACAAAACTGAGTTAGTCAATTCACACTATGATAAATCAAACATTCATTACAAACGGATTGACTTGAGAAAATTAAAATATTTCAAGAATACCATATTGATATTGGCATATTGTGTTGTTAATCTTTGTGGACACGCATTGATATAAAGCTGTAAAATAAATAAAGTAATAATTCAAATGCTGGAAAAAATATTATGTTATGAAAAACAGCTTGTGGCTCGAATACATCTAACGTGTAGAGAGAGCTAATAATTGAGTCATTCAACAAATTTAGGCAACTTGGCTAATGGGAGTAGTTTTTGGACATCCATCGCACAAATTTGTCCAATTATTATAAATCTACGATATTTATACTCTAACAAACGCAATTTAGTTGGGAAGAAGGACGGGAAAAAAAAAGGACGAAAATAATATTTTGTCTAACGGTAGCTAAGCTTAATACTCACGCGTATAGTTTAAAACGTAACAGTGACCAAAGAGTGATAGTTTACTGATGGTGATGGTCTGATGGACTTTGAAAAATATTAATTCGAGAGTATGCATGTAACATTCAGGTTTTAAACTAAAGAGTGATAGTTTAGCTACTGATGGATTTTGCATACCTGAGTTTTTTCACGTGGACGTATGGCCAAAAAATTAGAATAAAAATTGTAGACGATATGGAGATGTACTAGTAGAAGTTCTATAAAACAATATTCGATAAAACAATAAACATTATAAGATAATATTTTTCTCCAGTCTTAATTTGGGTCAATATAAAAAATAACATAATGCGATAAGATGATATATAAAACAATAATATTTTTGAAACTCCTATGTAAAAATAAAAATATAGTCCCAACAATAAGCTAAGATAATAATTATAAAACTAATGCATATATATCTAAGACAATTTAGTAAAATATGACTCCAATGTAGTTTGTCATCATCTTCAACTCCATCTTCACCATTAAGAACAATACACATAATTTCTTATAAACTTTAAACTTTGAACTTCTGAGCATGAAATATGTAAATAACAAAGTATAAAGAAAATTTGAATAAAAAATATGAAAAAAAAATATATTTCTATAAAGTTTATTGTTTTTGATAGAATATTTCTATAAAATAATAATTATTGTTTTATCGATAAAATAATAACTCTATAAGATAATAAAATTTCAAAGTCCCAACATTATTGTTTTATAGAGATTTTACTGTACTTACTTTTGATAGTTAATTTGGCATATGATTAACCCAGTTTCTAAAATATCATTTTCAAAAGGAAATTATAGTCTCTACAAACTGTGTGATATATTATGAAAGCCTTTTAAAAGAGAAAAAATTTTGATATATTACAAATGCAAATACTAAATTTAGGAAATAAAGGCGTGATGGCATGCTATTTCTCATATTTTGGGTAGCGAGCACCTTCTCATATTTTGGGTAGCGAGCGGTGCGTGGCGGTGGGCAGTGGGTATTTTACACAAGAATCTCCTTTAAATACATTATTAAAATATTGGTATATAGCTTCTTATGGACTAAAAATATGATGTAATTTTGTACCTACTCTGTTAATCTAATCTTAAATTGAAATTCCATACGAAGTTGATATTAAAACACTAAAACATCATAAAATTAGCCAGTATAACCAGCTAAATAATATAACATGGACAGAGACGATTATCCAGAATTATAATATTCACTTCAACAGCCGTTTCACTGAATTATTTAAACCACATCAAGTCACACAACTGGGGACCCAAAACACAAATCGGACGGCAATCCTCCGTCAAAAGTGGGGTCCATGTCCAACAATACTCTTTTTTTGTCCGTTGGATCCTTATTCTTCTTTGACAAAACCGCGTTGACCAACGATCTCTTTTTTGTCTTACCTAAACTATCCACCTCCACCGTATAAACCGTACACTATTTCGCAGCACATCCTAGCTTAAGTCCTATACCAGAAAACCAAAGGGAAAACTTGTCTGCGTCCGCTCCGCGCGTGCACTTCAGTTCCCTCAAAACTGATTCCGTTAAACCGCAACACACTTTTTTTTTTAAATAATAAAAAGGTCATCGTCTCCGACAGCGACCAATCTCGCCACGTGGCATTACCATGGCTTTATCTCCTTTCGACCAATCTCGCCACCTGGCATTATTTCTTTTTTAAAACTCCCCCTTTCCATCTTATACATTGATCCGTCTCCTTCACCGGGAAACCGCGGCCACGGCGGCTGGAAGCGGGGGAACGGCTGAAATCTCCGGCAGAAGAATATCGGCGCCGTGCAAATGGTGATCATTGCTGTAATTAAGGAACCGATCTACGGCGAGTACGCTCGGGCGAGCCACCGTGTTCTCCCAAGCCTCGTCGGCCTCTTCTCCTCGCCGGAGAAAAACATCCGTCGCGTCGACACGGTGCATGTTCCATTTCCACTGCTTGTAAAGCCTCTGAATCTTCTGCAGTTGCCGGCACGCTAGCAAACAGTTGTTCACCTTTATTTTCTCGATCGCCGTCTCCAGAAGCCTCTCCGTCGTCTCCGCCGGATAATCCCGCAGCTCAGCTCGGAGAAACTCGTCGAGCTCCGGAACTCCGATTGCGCGGCGGATGCCGGCGGAGTAATCAGACGAGGACGGATCGAAGATGCGGCGAACTTCATCGACGAGTCCCATCTCAACCATCTGATCGACTCGCTCCGAGACGAACGAGTGTAAAACCGGTCTAGAGACATCGACCCACAAGAAGCAGCAATTGTACCTTAACCGGAAGTCAACGCAATTGTTGACCAAAGCCTCGATGTAAGAATTAGAACCACCGGCTATGATCGGGACACGGTCTCTCTCGACAATTGACTCAACGGCTCTGATTGCTTCCCGCTGGAAATCCTCCGCCGTGAAATCTTCGTTAGTATTTTCGACGGTGCCAATGAGGTGGTGAGGGACACCGAGGCTTTCCTCCGGAGTGACTTTGTTGGTGACGATGTCGAGACCTTTGTAGACTTGGATCTTGTCGGAGTTAACGATCTCCGCCGGAAAACGAGTGGCCAGGTCGATGGCGAGACGGGATTTGCCGGTTCCGGTGGCGCCCATGACGAATACGACCTTGTCTTTTCTCCGGAAAAACGGAACGTCGACCATGTTTAAACCGGGGGATGTTCCTTGGTAGCTCAACAATGGCTGAATCACTTGTCTTAGAGCCGTCATGCATGGCTTCATTCTTATAAATTAAGTTCCTTAATACTTCTTCACCCTGCTGGATTAATCATATAATTAATATTTTTAAGACAGATCTAATTAAAAACTTATTAACATGCAATAGATTCGTATGAGGTCAAAGAGAGAAAGAGACACCGTTCCCGGATAATACTAACCTTGAAGTGGCTTGTTTAATTTCCCGGAGCACTGTCTCTTCCCTGTCAATCGATTTTGATGTTTAGGAACTCGAAATCACGTACGAGATTTAATATCAAGAAAAGAGAATGTGAGGAGAAGGGCAGTTCAAGAATCTAGCTCAGGTGTGATCTATTTACTTATGGTTTCAACTTTCGACGAAACTATATTTGCTCTCGACGAGCATGTATGTTGAGGAATGATTGGGACTTCGAATTTATAGCACCAGCGACATGCTGTTCATTTTGTTTATATTTTACTGACACTTGTTCCATGACACGTGTCACATAACGATACATATATTTTACCACAATTTTCACTAAGAATCGCCAAGTATGATTGGTTCTGTCACCCAATTAGTATATAACGCAAAAAATATAGAATAACGCCTCGTAACTACGACTGATGAGTATTTTACTATTTTTTATCGGATTTAACACAACACTGTTAATCAAGTCTTGTCTCATATTGTAATGTCTGTTATCTTGTAAGCGAAAAGCTTCTTGGCTTCTTGCTGTACCTCTAAAACTTTGGTCACTGGTAAAATTCATCAATTAAGACTACAACGATATTTTATATGGTTGTGGCGATTATATGATCACAACTAATACAGTCAAGTGTGGCTGTTTATTCTTATATATAGCTCGTATCGAAGTTCGTAAGTTTTCATTTCAAAACCATTTGTCATTAGTATAGTGGTTCAAACGTATAACATATTCCAACTATATTTCATCAAGATAAATGTTTTTTATCTAACTTAATCCTTGAGGTGAACGATTGGATATATAAGTTCAGATTAATACAGGCTCCGATCCAATACCTACAAAGACTTGTAATATTTTTCATCCCGAAACTAACATAATGGTATGATATGAATGCATAGATCATATTTTGCGGAGCAGAACACATATATATATTTATCTCTATAATACTCTCGCATGTTTGATGCCTTATCGTTATACAAATATAAAAAAACTGATTTCAAAGTTATCTGGAATCAACTAAAATTATATTGGTGATGCGATTTCTGAGTCGAATAAATTAAGGTCTCGAAGCTTTTTTATTTTTGGCTTTCGGTTTTTAGCCTTTTGCTATTTGGTTTAGTTATTCCCAAACACCAATTTTTTGTTTTGTTTTGTTAATTACCACTATCTCTTCTTAATTCAAATGTTCTAAACATACACTGTCTAGGGTAGCAAAACACGTATGTAAGACTAATTAATATCTATAGGTTGTAGCCTTTCAAGTCAATTTACCTAAACTTGTAGGTTTCCAGTAATGAGAGTTTTTAGTCTTTCCTATACCAAAAATTAATAATCGTAACTGAAAACATTATAATAATAAATTAACTAAAACTTCAATTCGTAAAAAGTTTTTTTTTGTTTTGTTTTTTCAACTCAATTCTTAAAAAGTTATTTAAATCGAAGTTGTGTTTTGCTAGAAAACTGAATGTGACCCAACAAGTGAATCAAACAGTACAAGACTCTTTTGCAATTTAGATCATATATATGTGTTTCTAAACTAAGTAAACAAGAAAATAAAACAAAACAATCATTTTGTTGGACATCTAGAAAATATCACTACCATTCAAGATTTAAAATAATCTTATACATTTTATCTTGATAAGAGAAATAAATCATATCAAATTGATAACTTTGCATGTGTGAGCGTCCTTTTCATTAGACAAACATAGATTATATGATGAATTCAAGTTAGTGGGTTGGACTAAATTTATATTGATTAGTGAATGGAATAAATTATGATATCATATTGGTTTAACCTCTAACGATAAAATTGATGATGTAGAATGTCGTTAAGTTGTAAATAATATTACTTATCGAATTCAGAAAACAAATAATGTTATTACATGCACGCTTGTTCATAGACAATGGAGTATGTCATATAAAGAAAATGGAATTTTTTATGGCTTCAAAGACCAACCAAAAGCCTCTAAGGTCAGACTTCGAGACTTGATAGGGCCATTCAGTCATTGATCACGTCGAGTTTTCTTTTTCTGCCAGGAAGTACCTCACGTGGGTCACCACTGTAGAGGATATAAAAAGTAACATATAACAAAATCAATAACTAAGCTATAGATGGATGGTGTGCAATAATATTACAATTTAAACGCTAAGTAATGTGGCGACAAAAATGTTAAGTAATGTATCACAAATGGTACAGCAGATTAGTCTAACTAACTAAAAAATAATTATTTTTCTGTTGAAAATAACTAAAATAATAATTTTTGCTGTTAAACTAACTAAAATTGAATGTAACTTACAAGAAATCAGTACAAATATAAACAAAACAGTTATAAAGTTTGCAAAAAAAAAAACTAGTTATGTAATTATGCTCATATATATATAAATGTTTATATTTAGCGTTTCTTTTACATACATTTCGATTTATATATAACGTTTACCACTCATAGATGCGAACTCTTAAATTTAAAATTTAAATATCAAATTATATTCATGGTCTAGTTCTATAAAATTAAATTTAAACTTTATATACAATATCTTATCTTGCACTACGAAATTATTAATATGCATAGTGTTAAAGCAAAAGAAGTATTGCACAAAATATTCTAAAATAATTGATATGTATGGTCAAAATAGGGTTGACGTAAGGTTGAAATAGACTTTTGAATGAATTTAAAACAGTTGACAAAAAAACAAAAACGAAATTATAATGACACATTGTATAATTCCAAACAGAAGTGGGGCAGGTTACGAAATGTGATTTTTATAGCTTTCATCAAGCAATTATTGAATATCATTTAGTTATAGTAGTAATGGTACAAAACAAAACAAAAATGATGGTGTAGTTGCAAACTATAGTATTAAAAATACAAAATGAGTATAGTCAACTTATGCTAAAAGAAATGGCTAATGGATCTCCATACGTTGACCAAAAAAAAAAGTTGACCAAAAAAAAAAAGGATCTCCATACAAAAAAAAATTAGGTAAATGTCTTTTTTGTTTTTGTTATATGTTAGCCATAATTTGTAATTATGTTGTTTTATTTATTTATAATTTATTTCCTGTGTTATGGGTCTATAAATCGCCCATTATGTAAAAAGTAGCAATCTATTTATTTTCAACAAAGGGATCTACTTATTTTCAACAAAGCTCCCAGCAAAGGAATTTGCTTTTCTTCGATAACAAAATTGTTCGATGCCTTAATTGATCACTAATAACATCGATTGATATTACAAGACGATAGATGATAGAAGTTGTTACTGTATATATATTGAAAATGGTTGGCAGTGTCTTTTTTTTTTTTTTCCCGGCCAACCAGAAAAAAAAACAGAAGACTATCTTACTTATTTACACTACGATTGACCGATCGTACAGTTTTAAAATTGAAAACCTTACACATGTTAAATAGTTTCCGTGAGGAAATCGTCCGTACACTGGTTAAAAGGAAGCATAGATTTGACATTGATAGGCTTTTTATTCTCTTGGAATTTTCTTTTTCTTTTTCAGGTAGGGGCCGATGCCGAGGACTTACCATAACCCATTATTATTTCAAATAAAAACTAGTTTGATTCGGTTCGACAATAGTAATATTACAACTATCAAAATTTTAATGAAAAAGAAGAAACTGATTAAAAATGTTATCATGGTCCTAAGTGGAGATATGGTTTCTCAATTTTTTTATGACATTTTGGAACCCATTTGGGCCTATAAAGGCATAAGAATAATTACACATACAAGCAGACAAATTAATTAATAAATACATTATACATTACAAACAGAATGAGTAAAATTATAATTATAAGCTATTCCTGTGGAAATTCAACTAGAACTCTTCTACTTTCGCGAATATAAATAGAAAAAAATTGAGAAATGCTTCAAAATTTGTAGATGGTTTAGATTGTGAATTCTGTCTAAAACATGATTAACTTGCAGACTACTCGAAAACAAATAAATAAGTATGTGTCGGGAGAAAAAAAAAGTGAAGGTTAACCAAAAATACACATGAAGTACTTGTAGTTTGATTAACAAAATATGAATCAGGATATTTTTTTTTAATCAGGATATTTTTTTAATATGAATTTAAAACGAAATGTATTTATAACTTTATCTAAGAGAATCCAATGTTTGAACACAAAGAACTAAACCATTGAACTTCTGTTTTTAAAATTGAAGTCAGGAGACTCAGAATCTCCATGGCTAAACCATTGTTGTAGCCTTGAAGGATAGAGCTTGCAAGTGTCGTGTGCGTCGCACGAGTGCAAAAAATCTTGTTCCATAGTGATTAATTCCCATTCTCTTTCTCTAGATCTTGTGTTATAATATTTTAGTATTTACATTAAAAGTTTTTTTTGTGTGTTATGTAGAGAGATGTAGACGGTGATGTTTTGATTACAGATTATATGTATTTTAGAGCACAAAAGAGGGATTTTCTACATGTGTAGTCATTTGCAAATGATTAATCAACCATACAGTTGCATCTAGAATCATTCCCTCTCTCGCTCTCTTTTCACTTTTGTAAAATAATAAATCACACCTATCATCTTGGATTTGATAGAGTGTTCGATAACGGACTTAAATACAATACATGAATAGATAAATTATGTACATAGTTAGATTCGGACGCAGGTAGCATTAATCTTCACTCCTATTCGCGTTATAATGAATGTTATCATATGGCTAAGAAGAGTTGCATAGGTGACGTTTGTATGGTCGGTAACACGAAATTTGTAAAATAATCATAACGATTATATACTGGAAAATAAAACTCTGGCTAAAGTGATCACTAGTCGATAAATAATCATTATTATTTCTGTGTCATGTAAGGGACAACAATGAAAATGTGTTGGCTTCTATGTTGTCATATTGGATATCTCAAATGTCGATAATGGAGGGCAAAGCATGTAGGAGGTATTCAGTATTCTTCTTATAACCAAGTATCGGTCAAAAGATGGGCCTAATTGGCTTTTTAATCCTGGCAAGTCTATAGTTGGGCTTTGCACATTGTAAATATGGGGTACCAAAACAATATTCCCTAGACCTTGTTATGGTTATCAAAATCTGGGCATTAAAAACCTAACATTTACTCGTCAGATTGGCCTGTTTTGGCTACTGAAATTGATGAATTTCGGTTTTTACGTTCTTCCCTTGTTCCCTTTTGGTTATCCTTTATCCTAAGTTGTTGAATGCATGTACGATTGTCTCTCGAAAGGAGCATGATCATGTGGTGTCTTTTTCCAAACGCTATACAGTGTTTTAAAGTCAAGAAACAAAAAAAATGGCTAAATTGTTATTTAAGGGTGTTACTGTCATTAATCTTCTACTCCTTGTGACTTTTTCCTCTCTTTCTGTCATTCGTTGTGTTACTAACGTCGTAGATATAGCTTAGCCAAATTTACTTGTGAAAGATTATGTTATAAACTGGACCTTAATGCAATCACTTTCGTACAACGTTATTTGGTTAATGAACATATAGTTGACAGAAAAAAAAATGAATGGTGCTTGAGCGTTTTTTCCATAGAAAATCTTTATTCTAATTACTTATTAGCCATCATAATTGAGCGTAGTAGACTAATTATGTATTAACGTATATAAAACGGAAGATTTAAAACATTAATTGGGACGCAATCAAAATAGTCAGACATGTATGCCAACGACTTACTACCAGCTACGCGGATGACGGCGCGTGGATTCACTCTCTAAAAATTTCCTTTCATTTTGTCTCGAAACGAATCTGAAACCGCCACACACAGTCGCCAAATCCTTCCTCCTCCTCTCTTTAACTCTCCGTGATGTCTCTCTCACTGCCCTCTTCCTCCGCCGCTGCTGCTGCTGCTGCGGCGGCGGCGTCAACATCGGGGTCATCGTCTTCTCCAGCGGCCGCTTCGTCTTCCTCCGCGACAACGTCCTGGTTCTCCGGAATCGTTCGCGGACGTGGTGAGAAATCCGGCACCTCGAAGCTATCTAAAAGCGCTTCCATGGCGGGAACCGGAAGCGGAAGCGGCGATTACGGTGGGCCGATCAAAGGGAAGAACCAATTTCGCGGAGTTTTGTTCAAATACGGTCCCAAAGCAATTCAGGTTCCCTTCGATTTCGATTCGTTTCATGCGTTGCTTTTGCGTTACTTCAAAGCAAAATTTGGGAGATATTCTGTTAATAAAAAGTATCATTTCGTAATTCCGGGATTGCTTAAACTGAAGTAGCTTCTTCTGCATCATCTAAATAGTTTAAATTCTTGCTCGTTATGTTGCTTTGTCACACTTTTTAGGAAACGATTGTGTTCATCTCAAGCTTGTTTGCTAACTTTGACTTTTTTTCTTTCATGTTCTTAATTGGGTCCCTTATTTGTTGATCATGTTAAGATTCGTTGGAATTTGTTGAATAAAGGAATGAGATTTTAGGTAATTTAGGGTCAACGTTCCAAGCCATGTTAGACCTTGATTCATGATTATGGTTGACCATTTATAGCAAGGCAGTGATCAAAGTAATCAAAGATGATCCCTTGTTTGTGAATTTTCATGTATCTCCAGGTGGCTTTTAAGACTGGAGAGTATAAACAACAAGTGATCTTTATCGGTGGATTAACTGATGGACTTTTAGCTACTGAGTATGTGGTGTTTCTTCTCCCTTTGCCATAAATCTTTATATTCTGGGATAGATTGTGCAGTGTTTTTATCTTTTGGCATAAATTGGCCATTTCAGTTACTTGGAACCTCTTGCAATTGCTCTGGATAAAGAGAAATGGTCACTTGTTCAACTTCTGATGTCGTCTTCATATACTGGATTCGGCACTTCCAGCTTAAAACAAGTAAAGAGTTTTGTTTGTCGATAAATTTGGATTCGTTTACTCTTTTAATATTGGCAGTCTCTGTGGAAAAACTAATATTCCTTGTTCCTTTTGATGAAGGATGCACAAGAGATCGATCAGCTTATAAGTTATCTCATCAACAAAGAGAACTCCGAGGGCGTTGTTCTGCTTGGTCATAGCACTGGCTGTCAGGTGATTGGTTAATTCCGGAAACAATTTTCTTGATGGATGTGAAAGGAAATTTATGAGAGATAACTCTTTCTTCTTGCATGTTGAAACAGGACATTGTGTATTATATGGGAACAAATGCTGCTTGCTCTCGAGCTGTCCGAGCTGCAATTTTGCAGGTGCTAATTCTAGATTCTTTTACTTGTATTTTTCTTTCTTCTCTTAAAGCTACACTTTATCTTATGTGAAAGGCTTTGAGTTGGATCTTGTGCTATGTGCTATAAGTTTTGAATTTAGTGTAGCTTTGTTCATGTTACGTATCGCAATGTTTACTTAGGCACCAGTCAGTGATAGAGAGTACAAAGCAACACTTCCTGAGACAGCAACTATGATAGATTTGGCTGCAAACATGATAAACGAAGGCCGAGCAGAGGAGATAATGCCTAGAGAAGCTGATCCTTGTGCTCCAATCTCTGCTTATAGGTTAAATATCTATTTCCTTCTACCATAATCGCTGGCTTTAAAATGTAAAAGTTGTGTGCTCGAACATGTCTAAATACAAAAAATCAAACTTTTTTGCTTGCTTCCTGCAGATACCACTCCCTCTGCGCTTACATGGGGGATGACGATATGTTTAGTTCTGACCTCAGTGACGATCAGTTGAAAACTAGACTTGGCCATATGGCTAACACACCTTGTCAGGTAAATCAAACAAAACTAACCATCACGATTATTTCCAGACACGGTGAACAATTTTGTTTCTTGTTGAAGCCGTTGGGATCTGATTAGCTTCTTAAACTCTCCATGTCCTTTGTTATACACAGGTGATTTTCTCCATGGGTGATGAGTATGTACCGGATTATGTCGATAAAAAGGCACTGGTTAATAGGTAGGTCTTTAAACTAGAGTAACAATAAGAATCCAAATATGTCCCCTGTGTTCATTTGTTGGAGTTCCCTGTGAGAACTATAGATGCAAACTTTGGATCAAAATGATATCGAAATGATTGGAGATGAAGAAGGAAATCATTTGATATGTGTGATTACAGATTAAGCAGAGCGATGGGAGGAGCAGAGAAAGTGGAGATAGAGCATGGGAATCACTCTCTCTCCAATAGAGTGCATGAAGCTGTCCAAGCCATTATTGGTTTTGTCAAAAGAGAAGGACCTAGCGGTTGGGATGATCCTTGGAGCTAACTCTGCTTTTTCCCATTATGTGGATAAATAATATCCAAATCTCTTATGAATTAACTTCCACTTCTCTGCTTTTTTCCCATCATGTGGTTCAATTTTTTTTTGTTTTTCTCTTTTTGATCTGATATATACTTGGATCACTAAAAACAAAACAAAAATCGTTCTTAATGTATAATCCTCAATTTCTTGTCATGTCTCGTTTGGCAGACTCCATAATTTAAGAATTCATAAATAGTTTTTAACAGATTTGATCATAAAGCTAACAGTACAAGTCCGTTTATGTGATTGGATTTCTTACACATATGAAATCAAAGTTTTTACCTCACTGATTGAAGTTGAACTGAGACAACCCTGTGTCAGTGTGTTTACAAGTAATTTTAAAGAAGGTGAAACAGTAAATCTACCAAGTTCAGCTTCAGCAGAGATGCACTATGAACATAAAAAATCATCAATCTGAATCAGTAAGGAACAAAAGGTATTAACGTAGATGACAGAAGATAAAGAAGCTATCACCAAACTATTACCAATAATAGCCATTTATCATGTAAACTACCAAACTGTCACTAGAGTCTAAAGAGTTGGTGAATTTGGTGTATCTAGTTACGAAAATATTACTCAGCTTTTAAATCTTTATGGGTACCGATATTTGTATTAAACTGAGTTTGGCAAAAAAGTCGTCTTAACTTGCAAGTTGTGTTAGGTTAATAACAGAATTTTCCATTAGTGTGGAAATAACTGTTTTTCTCCTATAAGATCATAATCAAGTATCTTTTTATTTAGTTGTTTTGAATTTATACCTATATATACCTCCCAAGTTTATAGAACTAAATTAATTTGTTTCTGTTAACTGTGTGAATTATGAATTTCCAATCTAAAAGATGTTATTCTCCTACAGATTTTTCACTAATGATGATTATACTTTCTGGGTTTTCCACTAATGATAGTCCACTTAAATCTATCATTAGTTTCACTAGTAAAACTTAAATTTTGAGAGGCGGTGCGACAATAATCAAACAAGGCACGTGACGCCAACAGGCAACACTGTCTTAAAAATCACCAGCGTGTCACGGACAATGGCTGTATATGTAAAATGTAAAATGCCCCCAACGTCACGCCGACGCGAGTTATGCGACACGCTTCCTTGGCCAACATGTCCCTGCTCTACTCGTTGGCGCGGTCACCGGTTCGTGGCCATGGTAATTGCGGCTGAATCACAGGGGTATTATCGTCCAGACAGAAAATTGTCATATCTTCTTTAACTCTTCCGCCTTTTGGTTCTATGAATTTTCCAGGAGACAAGTCTCTAAATTCTTACCTAATTTTCCGCCATATTTATTTTGTTTTTTATTGCATCCACAAATTTAAATTATATCAAGTTTCGTCAAATCAAGGAACTGAAACTACAATCTGCACTCTGCAGAAGAAGAAGGAGTTGAAAGAACAAATCCTGGATTGTGAATCATATTATTCTACAACTTGTGAACTTCTGGGTTTTTTTTGCTTCTAATCATATCGAGTAAGTTTTTTTGAATGTGTTGATTATCTTCTTATTCAATAAAAAAACAAAAAAAAATTATGCTTTTACTTACTAGGAAACAAAAAATACAAAATCAATCCTTGGAATTAGCCGTGTCGTCAAATTGATTTCTTTTCCTATTGTCGTCATCTTCTTCTTCAATTTCGGTCGGATTCCCAGATTTGCTTACTTGGATATTTCCTTATACTTGTTGTCGTCCTCGGGTCTGTTATCTTCTTCATTTTCTTTCTTCAGATGCCGGAGAAAAGAGTGACTCCGTCTCCGGCGCTGGGCCAAATGACGAAGAACCGGCTGAGTCCTCTGCATCAATGGAGATTCAGCCTTCTAACATCCCTCGTTTTCTTCCTCATGGTTGTCGTCTGGAGCATTGACGGTTGTACCATCAAAAGCTTTATCGTTTCATGGAGTTTCAATGCTTACTCTTCTCCTTCTCATTCAGTGAAACCGAAGTCCCATTCTCTGGATCTAACTTCGAACTCTACCAATCCACTGGATCTGTATCCGACCCGATTGAAGTTCGACTGGATCTCCGCCGAGCAGGAACACAATTTCACGTCGAATCTTCTGAGAAATTGGTTGGCTCCGGGAGGAGAGAAATGCAGAGAAGCAAAGACCGTCGATATCTCCGTTCCGAACATCGACGGAAAAGAATCTGTAGAGTTAACGGCCGGTAAGATCCACGAATTCAGATTTCAATCCTTGGACGAATCGGGTAAACCGGTCTGCATCGGTGGGGATTACTTCGAGACTGATCTTTCCGGCGAAAACTGGAAATCGAGACCACCGGTTAAGGATTTAGGCAACGGGACTTACTCTTTATCCCTCCAGATTCATCCCGATTTCGCCGGAGACTACAATCTCACCGTCGTTTTGCTCTTCCGCCACTTCCAAGGCCTTAAACTCAGCCCCACGCGATTCGCCGTCGACAGAGTGCTACGCAATTTCAAGCTACGCTTCGTCACGAAACCCGACGTCGTTTTGCCGGAGCTCCGGAGATGCGATCGTTCCGATTTCGATAGAGAAGTCTGGTCCGGCCGGTGGACCAGGCTCGGTAAGAACGACGAGTGCGAGATCAGCAACGACGGGCGTTACCGTTGTCTTCCCGCTGATTTCCCTTGCCGGAAACCATGGTGCGACGGAGCGTTATCGGAGTTAGAAAGCAACGGCTGGGTTTACTCCAGCCATTGCTCCTTCAAGCTCTTCTCCGGCGATTCGGCTTGGGATTGCTTGAAGAACAAATGGATTTTCTTCTGGGGAGACTCCAACCACGTCGATTCGATCAGAAACTTGCTGAATTTCGTCTTGGGTCGTCCGGAGATCCGCTCCGTCGCGAGGAGGTTCGATTTGAAGTTCTCGAATCCGAAGAACTCATCGGAGACAGTTAGGATCACGAGTATCTTCAACGGACACTGGAACGAGACTCAGAACTATCAAGGTCTTGACTCGCTTAAAGACGAAGACTTTAGAGAGCTGCTCAAAAGCTACTTCGCGGAGGAGAACAGCGTCCCTGACGCCATGATCGTGAACTCCGGTCTCCACGACGGCGTTCACTGGTCTAACCTCAGAGCGTTTGCGAAAGGCGCGAAAACCGCGGCTGCGTTCTGGAGAGACGTTTTCGACTCGGTGAAAAGCCGCGGTTTACGACCGCCGGAAGTGATTTTCAGGAACACGATTGCGACGGGCGGTTACGCGAGGACGCTCGGGTTTAACCCGAGCAAGATGGAAGTGTACAATAGGGTGTTTTTGGAGGCGATGAAGGAAGCTGGGCTTGTGTCCGGTGTGATTGATAACTTTGATATGACGTACCCGTGGCATTATGATAACAGATGTAACGACGGGGTTCACTACGGGAGAGCTCCGGTGAAGATGAGGTGGAGAGACGGCGAGATTGGGCATCAGTACTTTGTTGATCTGATGCTTGTTCATGTCTTGTTAAATGCATTGTGTGTGAGATAAGATAAAAGAGTAGCGAGAAGATGTTTAGTTTGGTTATAGGATTTAGGAATGAGTCATGATTCTTTTGTTTATGTTGTGGAAAGACTTTTGAATATCTTTGGTTATAAATTTAGAAAAGTTTAGGACAGCGGATCAATCGTTGACTAGTACTACATCAGATAGTGTCATTCGATTTACGTGGCTTTTAGACGGTCCTAATCAAGCTAAATTCACTTTTTTTTTTGTTTCCTTGTAGACAATAAAGTTGTTATAAGTACATACTCGTAAATGGTTATCAAAATTAGCATATGTTATTTCATGTAAACTGAATTGTAATAAAAAAAAAGGATGTTTTTGTCTAGTTTTCATTATGATATATTCTTGATCTGAATATCTGATATACAATGTGTTTTTTTTTCAAACCATAAAATGTTCAAAATATTTGTATTTTACTTTATTAAAATCAAAATTAAATAATAAGTACTTTTAATAACTAAATATCTGGTAATGCAATTTACATGCCATTAATTCTTATCCAATGTCACTATTTTATAGTTATCTCTTCTTCTTTTTAATTCTCATTATTTTATGTATAAAACTACAACTTTACAGTTTATTATAAGAAAAAAAATTGCTGCGTATATCTGGTATAATTCCTTTTGTTGTTTGTTTTTATAAATTGAGATGAGAAAACAAAATTCGCCTGGTATAGAAAACAGAGAGACTAAAATCTGAACAATTTAAATTTAAAATCAGACAAATAAAAACTTTTAGATATTATCAAATTTTATTTAAGGACGGCTCAGAAGTCACGCGGTTTATTGTAACCAGTCACAGTTCTTAATATTTTCTTATGCTTACGCTAAAGATGGAGTCTGCAAACCAAATCAACAATTGAATCTCCCTCTTCACGAAACCCCTTCCCTCAATCCATACAAAAAACCATATCCTTTACGATTTCGGATTAGATAAGCTTCACGGCAAGCGTCAGAGACAATCTTCGCCCTTAAGATTTCGTTGCGTCTTTTTTTTGTTTTTTTCCGGAGCAAATCTCTTTGTTTTTTGCTTGTCAGAGAGCAACCCGTAGATCCGGCACCGCCGTGTGAGAGTTACCGGAGGTGATATTAGCCCTCTTCACGAAACCCCTTCCCTCAATCCATACAAAAAACCATATCCTTTACGATTTCGGATTAGATAAGCTTCACGGCAAGCGTCAGAGACAATCTTCGCCCTTAAGATTTCGTTGCGTCTTTTTTTTGTTTTTTTCCGGAGCAAATCTCTTTGTTTTTTGCTTGTCAGAGAGCAACCCGTAGATCCGGCACCGCCGTGTGAGAGTTACCGGAGGTGATATTAGCGTCTTAAGGTCGCCTTTCATGGCGTTATCGTGGCGATCTGGTCTCAGGATTTTCGTTCTCCTCATCCTTGTAGCTGCAATTGTCTTAGCTTGCTATTTTCTCCCCGTCGAGCAGGTTTGATTCCAATTCCAACCTCGTTGTATTCGCAATTGGGGAAATTAGGGGCTTCCATTGTGGCTCTCTGTGATGGGTTTTTATTGGTGTTGGATGATTTCTGGAAATTCATATGCTTTTCATCGAATTTTCTGGTAAATGTGGGTTGAATGGAAGTTTCATTGCAATAAAGGATGGAGCTTCTCCATCATTGTTCTTGCTCATATGAAGAATAGAATAAGTTTTACCCTTTGCATATATTTTCAGGGGAAAAAATTGTGTTAGATTGATTAGCCAATTACAGAAAGCAAATGCTGTGTACAACCATTGAGATTGATCTCTGGATAATATCTTCCCTATTGAATCCGTTCCGTTTGAAGTAGTGATTTGTGGGATTTAGCTTAGTTATGATCAGAAACTTACTATTTCTTTGTATGTTTTTCCAGCTTTTGAAGGATTTTTTGCTATGGGTTGAACAAGATTTAGGTCCTTGGGGACCTCTTGTCCTGTAAGTGTCTCCTCTTCTTCTTTCTTGAGCTATGAAGCTAATTACATTCTTGCGTGAATAGTAGCAATGAGCTATAGTAATGGCGACAGCTTTATCTCTGTTTCATTACTAAACTTCTAGAACTTTGGGAACATAAGAGTTAGGAGGCTTTTTGTTTACTTTGGTACTGAAATTCTCTTTCTTTGTGATATGTGTAGAGCTGTTGCGTACATTCCTCTCACAGTTTTGGCTGTTCCTGCCTCTGTTCTCACGGTATTATACATCAGATCCTATTTATTAGTTCTCAACCTCGTTGTTAGTAGTGACAGGTTTATTATAAAGTTGAGAAATCTTATTTGGTTAAAGCTGTGATATTCAGCTCGGTGGTGGCTACCTTTTTGGGCTGCCAATTGGTTTTGTAGCAGACTCGGTTGGTGCTACGCTTGGCTCAGGAGCAGCGTTTCTTCTAGGCCGTACGGTAAGCGTTCTCAAACTTCTCGTGTAGTCAGAAGATTTGCAGATAGACACCATCTTTTTTGGTTTTGGTGTTTACATGACAAATGTTCTTAATGCAGATTGGAAAACCTTTTGTAGTTGCAAAGTTGAAGGATTATCCTCAATTTCAGTCGGTTGCACTTGCGATTGAGAAATCCGGTTTCAAGGTATGCACCGAAAACCGATACAAGTTTTTGGTCTTTTTGTTCTTATACTGAATGTAGATATGCTTATGATTATTGCAAAATTCTGATTGTAGATATGCTTGCTGCTCCGGCTTGCTCCTCTTCTACCCTTCAGCATGTTGAACTACCTTTTGTCTGTAACGCCCATTACGCTGGGGCCATACTTGCTTTCTTCTTGGTTAGGGATGATGGTAATCTTCATAATCTCCTTAACCAACTGTTAAATGTTTAATGGCAAGATTGAAAGAATACAGCTTTGATACATTTGTTAAAACTTGCAGCCAATAACGCTTGCATTAGTATATGTTGGAACAACTCTGAAAGACCTTTCTGATGTGACTCACCAGTGGAGCGATTTCTCTATAAGTCGCTGGGTAAGATCCGCACATAACTACATTCTCAGCTTCTTGTTTCCAGTATATTTTCTGAAACGATCTTCCCTAATTTGCAGGCCTTCTTGATTTCGAGCCTTATAGTATCCGGTTAGTCACAGTTCCTACAATTCATTTTCACCTAAAATAAATAGTCTCTATGAACAGAGTCACTCATGTACCCTTCTCTTTTCTTTGCAGTGATATTGATGGTTTGTGTTACAAAGGTGGCGCAGAACGCTTTGAGAAAAGCTTTAGCAGAGCACGGAGGAGACCTGAACAGCGCGGTTGCAGCCTCGCCGGAGCTTCCCGTAACGACTGAGGCTTCGACGGATTTAAATGAGCCTCTCTTAATAAAGATAGATTCTCAATCACCTCCTCAAGACCGAGAAAACAACCATAGTGTCATCATTAAAGAAGCTGCTGGTTAATCTACTTTGTACGATAATTTTTTTTTTTTTTTTTAATCTTTTAACTTACAAAGCATAGGTTCGTTTGGGCAAAAGATGATGACCAGGATAATTGCACAGATCATATAATGCACATCGCTGTAGTTTTTCGTTTACTCGATTTGTATAATATTCACCAATTATTTTATGAATATTGTTGAAAAAGAATAAGGTATATCCACAATATAATCAGGCCTTCGAGTATTCGATTAGTACACAAAAAATAGATTGTTTGTGAATGATACAATCATCAATTCTAATAAAATAACTCAGAATCAAAAATATCTTCTAAATGAGATGACAGAAGACAATTCCTGATATATGAAGTCCTAGTCAACTATAAAAAAAATATAACGTTTGAAATTCATTAAAGGAATAAAGGTTATTTAACTAAGGTATAGTAAATGATATATTCTCGGTCAAATTTCTCAAAGAATAAAAAACAAAAATATATCTTTCATGATGTTAACATGAAGAAATTTTGTCATGTCAATGAGAGGGAATATGGCATTCCTCTTCATTCCTAAAAATTTTTACCATTTGGAATGAATTCTTATTCATTGTGAGACCCACATAATTCCCCCTTATTCCATAAATTATGAGGAATATAGTACAAATATATTCCATCCCAAATTTGTCAAGGAATGAAATAGAAAAAAAAATGGTAATAACATATTTTAATATACATATTGGAAACAAAATTGTAGAAAATTTACTTTTCTTCTCGTGACTGAAAATTAACATTTTTGTACACAGCTTTTCTATATATGTGAAAGATCTTTCTCTCGTCTAACCTAATACACCGGCTAAAGAGAAATGCAAGAGGTATACAATCTTCTTTTGTATGATTAAACTATTCTCTACCTAATGATGATTGATAATTTGATATAACGCATGTATCATGTGTATTTGTTATAAATAGGTATCATGTCATAGAAATTGTACGGTTATGCTTGAACTCATCAACATATAATTACTTTGTTCCTCACATATAATTAACTATTAGAAATATATACTTTGTTCCTTTTTTTGTTACCATTCTAGTGATATTTTGTTCCATTTTTTCTCGACAATCTATTCCTTATAATTTGTTTCTTATCATCATTCCTTTTATTCCATTTGTGGCCCTTCGGGAACATCCAATTAAAAACAATTTAATTATGGAGGCAAAATCAAGAATTAGACAATAGACACGTTGACTTTTTTGTTTTATTAATTGGATACACCAATATGGCAGTAAATCTGGGCGGTAGATTTACCATATAACCATGTAAGTAAATGTTTCCTTCCCGCGGTTAAAAAAAAAACAAGGGAAAAATCAAATCTTTGTTGATCTCATCTGACTATTCTGTCCAAATCTCTCTTCATCCTTCTTCGCTTCGTCTCTCTGTCTCTTTCCTCAGCTATGGGGATCTCCTTCAGCAACCGCCGGCGAGACGACCACCACCGTCGCCACCACCATCACCCTCCTCCTCCACCGCCCTACTATTACTCCGATCCTCCACAACTACCACCGCCCCCTCCTCAACCACCGCGCAACGAGTACAGCTACACTCACAACCATCTCGTACCATCAACTCAACAGCTCGCTCTTCCACCACCACCACAACCGAATCAGCCACCGTCTCAGCCCCAGCCCCAGCCTCCGCCTCCGCCTCAGCCGCAGATTAATTACGGATCGTACGGTCTTAACTACCATCAAAACCAGTATTACTCGCAACAAGCTCCTCCGTATTTCTCCGGTTATCATCACAATGGATGGAACCCGATGATGAGACCGGTTCTCTTCGGTCCGCCACCGGTTCACCAATTGCCGCCTCCGTACGTGGAGCATCAGAGCGCGAAGAAGGTGAGGAATGATGTCAATGTCCATAAAGGCACGGTGAGGCTCGAACCAGACGATCTCAACCCTGGTCATCATCTAGTCTCTTTCGTCTTCGACGCTGTCTTCGATGGCAGGTACTCATAATCAATCCACTCCAAAAACCCCTTGTTTGCTTCCGGAAATTAGGGATTTTTCTTACCATTTGCGTTGATTTAGGTTCCATCAAATCGAAAATTTAGTGAACTAAAGATTAGATTGGCTAATTAGTGTAGAGGAAAGGTCTCTACTTTGCACATACTTAACATTGTAGTAGTTCTTGATATCTTTCAAGATTCTCTGTTGCCATTTTCAAGATATTGTTTGCATTGAACACTAAGCTAGTAGCTAGCTATTGAATTAATCACGTACCGAGTCTAAGACTGTTATCTAAATGTGATCGAGAACATCTTGAAGTTATTTCTGATGAGTATTCTTATGATTATTTAACGTATATAAGTCTTTCATTTTCAGTTTCTCTATCATATTCTTTGCAAAGGAGGAAGCAAACTGCACAATGGTACCGAATTTACCAGAAGCCTACCCACCAACCAAAGTCCCTTTCAAGAAAGGAACTGCACAGAAGTTTCTACAACCTTCAGGGACAGGAACCGACCTTGGCTTCTTTGCCCTGGATGATCTCTCCAAACCATCGCCAGAAGAGGTGTATCCGCTTGTGATATCAGCCGAGACAGTAGTAATCTCGCCGAGCTCTGTTTCGGAGGAACCAGTAGTTCATAAGCAAGTCACACAGGCGTGTTTGGAGAGGACTAATGATGGATCTTTCAAAGTGAAAGTAATGAAACAGATCCTGTGGATTGAAGGAGCTCGGTATGAGCTACGTGAGTTGTATGGAATCGAGAACTCGACCGCGAAAGGTAATGATGCTTCGGGGTTAGAGGATGCTGGTGGCAAAGAATGTGTCATATGCTTGACTGAACCTAAAGACACAGCCGTCTTGCCTTGTCGACATTTGGTAAAAAGCTTCTAACAACTCTCTTTGCTTTATCTACTTAACTTGTGAGTAATTTTATACATTTTAGACTTACTTCACATTGCTGTTAATCGTTTCTAGTGCCTTACTACTAAATCTTTCACAGTAACATAATTTTCTTGGTTTAATTGTTCCTAAGACGAAATTATGTTGTGATGTCTTTTGCAGTGTTTGTGTAGCGACTGCGCAAAAGAATTGAGGTTTCAGTCAAACAAGTGTCCCATTTGTAGACAACCTATAGGTGAGCTTTTAGAGATTAAAGTGGAAAGCAATGATGAACAACACTGAAAAAACAGAGGTTTCTTTTCATCTCTTAAGCACCAAGTTTGATTCTTCTTTTTACCTTCGAATCGGAGTCTTTTGCCCTTTTTCTTATACAAATCCAATCTGTGTTCTCTCATTTCATACTTCGCACAAATGTGTTTGTCTTGGTTTCGGAAATTTGAAAGTATAAAAACATCAGTAATGTATATAGCTAGCTCTAATTGTTCTAGAGAAGCTCTATCTCTCTCTCTCTGTATCTTTCTTCATGGAACACTCTATGAATCTCTATGATCTGTTATTGAATGGAGTACTTTATTGCTTATTTATGGATCGAATATAGCTTGCAAGTTGCAATCATATGTTGTTTATCGTCAGACAGGAAAGATCAACTAGAGTTTAGATAGATCTATGTGTTCCTCTTTTAAGTCTTTTTCTTTTCTAGAAAGTAAATGTTTTGTGTAGAAGTCAGAGATGTGGACCTTGATAGTTACAAAGAGATTCAAAAGAAAAATAAAGAGAGATGGAACTGAAGTTTATCAAGAACATTCAAAGAAGTAATCTTTAATATCTCTCCTTTTTGCTTTTCGTCTATAAAAAAGGCTAATAAAGAAAAAGAAAAGCTGGTTGGAGATGGAGAATGTTTCCTATTGAAGTTAAGCCTGAAAGAAAAAGAACAAAAAAGTTAATTGAAAAACAAGAAAAAGTGAATCTGTGTTCATTCTTTGACAGAATGTTCAAACTTTTGAAGCGAGGAAGATATATAAAAAGAAAAGTCTTCATTTGATTGTAGACTTCTAGTGAAGTGACCCTCTTCGCAAGCAAAACTATTTACCTTGTAGATATTGGTTCCAGGTGTTATCAGTGTATCATATGTAGACATCATATTCCTTTGATTTATAAAACTGAAAATTGTTTCTTAGTTTTTGAAAATTGTAAATGCAAACGGAAATAGCATGCGATATATAATAACTTAAAATATTGTATTTTTTATTAGAAACATAAACTTAATATCGTAAAAATGCCAAAATACAATTTGAAGTTTTGAACAATGAAACCCTAGGTCTATGTGTGATTGTCTTTTGTCTTGTTTTAGGATATATATCGAATGTTGATCAGTGATATTTTTTCCCTTTTTTCCTATGACAATGTTTACTAGTCATACCATGATGTTTAATCAAATTTCCTTACCGAACTTCATTTATATCCCTGTATCAACATATTTTTTTCAGTTTCCTGTAGCTTTTCTCAGATAATGACATTTTAGGTTCATCGATGGATATGGTTCTAAACGAAGTTGTAAGTTTTGACTAACTCTAGAATTGTATTTCGTACGTTAACCACTGGGAAAATGAATGAGTTGCCTAGTCGCAATGCAATATACTAGGAGATTAGTTTTAGGATTATTAAACAAAATTTTCAGTTATGTTGAATTGTTGATATATTAAGTACAGATAAATCTGCGACATGGATACGAATCTAGGTACTACCACCGTCAAAGATGTTATCATTTGCGTCAGTTCACACTGTCAAGTTTTAACCATATCCAATCACCAAAATTGATTTAATAGCCAATAAGTCTAACATTTTAAACGAAACTACAATATAGTAGTTCAAGTCTGAAACGTATCGTGGTAAGCTTTGTTTAAGAAAAGAAAGGAGAGAAAACGAATCTTAGGGAAAAGATGGTAACAAGAGGAGAGAATAGGGACAAAAACTCCAATTAATGTCATTTTGTCAATAAGAAGAAGATGGCCCCATGTGAACATTGGAGACTCATGTGACTCAATTCTATCATTTTTGGCAAATTTCTGAGCTTCAACTTGTATTGCAACAAACCCGAAATTTATTCAAATGTTGATAGCTTAGCCGATTAAAATGAAGTTGTTTTATGTTGTCTGATTCGAGTTTGTGATTTTCTTTCATTTAGATCATAATATTTCCAACAAAAAAAACAGTCAATGAAATGTACAAACTAAAAGTTTAGAACCTCATGGTGTTAAAACTCGATTCTTCTTTCGTATTTTGAATCTATGTATCACGTGAATTCCAAAATGATCGTGTAGTATCAATTAATAACTTTGACTAGCAAGCTAAAATCTTCTGATCCTTCGAGACAATCTGTAAGTGTGTGTATGTACCCAAGAAAACTTCAAATGATTCAATAATGCAGCAAATTTAAATGAAACAATTACCCAACCATCGTAGAACTTTATCATAAATGTCAAAATTGTACAATGTCCTTTCGTTCTAAAAGACTTGGACTATATTATACAATAGATATATGAGTTATCGTTACTTTTGTCATATCCAATTATATGGTACAAAACTACAAATTACGTTACATTGATGTGTCGATGAAATATCCAGTAAATGTTTTTACGAGTAACGATTTTACAGTTTTTTTTTGCTCTAACACCCTGATATATTTGTAGGACTTAACATGCTTGCAGCTTGTACCTCGTTCGCTATATGTAATTACGGAACTTTTACGTGTAAGAAACTCATCGGATATATTCAAAACGCGTGAACAACGTTGAAATGAAACCACCTAACAAAATTAGGGTTTGTTATCAATGCATTTCAGCTAATGGTACCCTCATATTAATTGCTAACTAATCAACAACTTAAACTTTGGTCGCTTTTTCCAAATAAATTATCGTTTGTAGTCGTACCCTTCAGTTTAATGTAAGGCTCGAATTGAGATTTTATTATGTACACGATGTTATTCTTTCTTTGTCTTTTTGACATAAAATTATACGAAAACATGTCATCGTACACAATCACTGAAAATTAATGTACTATACAGTATACACAAACTAAAAAGGTTTTAAGTTTAGTCAAACTACAATCTTGTTCGATTTATAACCATTGCGTTATACTTTTAACAGCTCGCCCAACACAATCTCTACAATGTAGTGAACAACATCCCATCAGATTAAGAACAAGTTTTTTTGTGAGAGTCTGAGACTGGTATGATTTTTGTATGCATGTGTGTTCGTGATCTTTTTTTTTCTCTACTAATTTCACAGGTACACAGAGAATTTGATTTTCTTTTTTCGTCTAACAGTGAAATCTTTAAAGGAAGAAAAGAGTATGTTTTACTAATTTTGTTTTGGTTTTGTCTTAAAATATTATTTTAATCAAAAGCCAAAAAGAAAACATAAATAAGGGAAGAGGAGAGTGTTTCGTGCCATGTTTACATTTATTTAGGCTTTTGAGACAAAGGGCAATAATGATAAATGCGTAGAAGAAAAGTGTCTAAACTTAGAGAAAATAAATGTATAATACAGTAACTGAATATTAAAAAAAATTAAGAGAGAGACTGATGCGGCCGAAAACGTGATTATGTTCACTCGTAAGGCTGAGGCTTTCATCATTTACCCAACCCTACCTTTTTTCTTCTTCTTCTTCTTTTGTATTTCCACTATTTTCTTCTCTTTTGTTAAATTTTAACAGCATTCTGTTAGCATTTGTTCTTTAACTTTTTTAAGGTTACTCTCTTTTTTCCCATTAAGACAAACAAATAATTATATTATTATGCCCAATTTTCTTTTAACACGTCTCTTTCTTTTAAACAATTTTGTCATTTTTTCATCTAGTTGGTCCCACTGTTTCAGTTTTAACTTTTACATATCTCATTCAATAATTGAAGAAATTGTAGACGAGAGGTAAAAAAGTATGGATAGGTAAGATAAAATAACTATGAGGGCATCTGCAATGTATTGCCTCATATTTGACTTCAAAATGAAATGAAGAAATCTCAAAATAGAGTTGGATTTTGCTCCAATGTATTGCCTCATTTTTTACTTCAAAACCTTTTATTAATTACTAAATTTACATTATATATTTATATATATTACAAATTATCCCATAAGTTTTTTTTTTCAAAACTTTCACAATTTATTATAATTATTTAAATTAATTATGAATATTTTCCTTTCTTTTTTAATTTCTTATTAAATACGTCTTATTTGTATTTTAGAGTAAAAATAAATATCTATATAATTACTTATATATAAACTGAAATAGTTTAAAACTTTAAGGACTGTTATATAATTTAAAAACTTCAACTCCAAAATGGAAATGAAAATGGGATCAATCTCAATTTGGGAAAAAATATGGCATTTTGCCATTTTAAGATTGAAAATGGTATTGGATTGGAGCAAAATTAACTCCAAAATGGCAATAAAGATGAAATATGGGGCTGAATTGGAAATGCTCTGACAATGTTTATAAATTGTTTGTTCGTCAATCATTGTCAAAATATTAGACTAAGTTGCAACAGTCGCACAAGAAAAATACTAGATAAGCATTAGAGTGCCCTCCAATTATGGATGTGGTTTGGATAGAGTAGATGCATTGATTACTTATTATTGTTAAACCCTGATCCGTGGTGATTTTTATATGAGATGGAACAAATTCATAGATCGAGTATAGTTTTTTGTTAAAGTAAATCGAGTATAGTTGTTAATGATTGAAAAAACGAGCCATGCGTGGAATGATATAATTGTGACAAATTATTACGAGTATATGTGAATCGATATGGTCAATAGTTTCTTTGAATCGTAAAACTAAATTAATCATGATTGGGGGTATACAATCATATAAATCAAACCATAAAGATAAAAACTCTTATGTATGTACTTTCTTCATTTTGTTTTCGCTCCCTTTTTCCATATACCACTCCCATGTTTTGAAATGAATTTCAAGGCCATATACAATTAATATCATATCCCAGATACATAAAGTTAGTGTTTGCAATTTCTAGATCACTACATCAAACTATATTGTTTTGTTATATAAAAAAAATATTGATAGTACTAACCAAACACTGAATCGGATTAAAACCAAATACAATGATCAAAACATTAGCTTTACTCAATAAATGTAAAGTTTTGTAATTTTTCTTGTCAAAATTTTTACCATTAATTAGCTTTGAAAAATAACATAGCAAAACACCAAAAAAAAAACAAATATATGATGAAACATAGGAAGTATTAGTTTGTGCTTTTGTCCCTACAACAATGGTAGAATCACATTTTGACATCAAATGAAACAATTAAAATCAGAACTACTTAACAACTGACGCACTTTTATAATCGTCACAAAAAACAAAACTGTATTGGGTAATATAAGGAGTTTCATTCCAAAGCAAATGTAGCAATCAATTGATTACGATGTCCCCGCATATTTAATGAACAATACCTAAAAATCCACTATTCAAAGACGTGAGAGACCGATCTCACAAAATTAGGTGCCTTGCATAATTATGTTACTATGTATCCTTTTTGTGGGTTTTTTGTAACTTTGATTGCGTTTTACAGTTTAAAATTGATATTTTAAGCTAAGAAAGAATGAGAAAGATGTTCCTAAATTTAATGTAGGAAAATTCCTAGGACCGGTTAATACGGAAGGAATAAAGATAGAACAAGTTCACGTTTTTTCTCACATAGTAACGTTAAATTAACCGGTTCATTGTCGTCGTTAAGAAATCTAATTAATCTCAATAAAAAATGCTACTTCCCATATAAATCATCCCTTATTTGTTTGTTTAGTTGAGGCCAAGTCGAGCCACATAAGCCGAGCTAATACATCTGGTAAGGACTAATTTAAAATCAAAGCACATTCTGATAAAATATTAATATATAGAGGATTATGAATATTCAGTTCTTATTACTTCTTAGTACTTTGTCCCCATTTCCAACATTTCCTCGTGGGAAATTATTATAATCTGAAGTTCTGAACGAAATGAAACAGTAAAACTTATTAAGTTTCTCAAACTACAGAACATATACTATTTTCGAAAATCAAATTATTTTTTGTTTGCTAAAAATAGGTAGAATTCGATTATATTCATATGGATCTAGAACACTGTAAACGGTGATAGTACCATTAATACTCCTAATCTAGTTTCTTTTCTTTGACACATACTCCTAATCTACTTGGACAATTACTTTTCATATCTTACCATTTAATAATATCTATGGCAAGAAAAAAAATGAAAAAGAATACTTGTACATACATATTAAGCCCAAAATAAGAGTACTTGCACTCACTCCATTTCACCCAATAAATTAAAGCACATCTTAAAAAAGATAACGAAGTAGCAACTTTGCATCATCATCATCATCTCTCTCTCTCTCTCTCTTCCTCCCGTCCTGAAATAGATGAAGTAGAGAAGTTAATGTTCACCAAACTTACTGTAAAGTCTGAAACTCTCTTCCTTCTTCTTCTTTGCTTCATTCAAGTAAGTCTCTGATTTGCCTTCTCTGTTACTAAACCTTCTCTCTCCATATATGTTTCTCTCTTTCTCAAAGAAAAAGGAGATTTCTTTCTCTCAAGCTATTGCTCCTGCTTTCTCAGATAATGTATAATATATTTGTGTTAACAGTTATGTTTGCTTATGATATCTATCAAAATCTTTCCTTTAGTAACATTTTCTGGCTTCTTTTATTTTGCAGATTAAACTTTCAAGAACAAGAAAAGTTATCTCAGATCTAGTGACAAAAGTGAGATAGATTTCAACCAATTAAAAGAAAAATGAGTAAAGAAGAGTTTATGAAGATCCAGGTATGCTCACCAGCTTTTTTTCTTCTCCTTCTGATGTTCATATTCTCACACTGATATGATAATTCACTCTTTTCTTCGTTTTTTTTTTGTAGACTTGTGTTCTCAAAGTGAACATTCATTGTGATGGCTGTAAGCAAAAAGTTAAGAAAATCTTGCAGAAAATCGAAGGTAATAAAACGAAATCATACCTTCTCTTTTTAATTCAAACCAATTTCCACTGTTTTCAGATTTGACTAAAGTGATATTTTGGTCATGAAACAGGTGTTTTCACGACAAAGATAGATGCAGAGCAAGGGAAAGTGACGGTATCTGGAAACGTAGACCCTTCAGTTCTTATCAAGAAGCTCTTGAAATCTGGTAAACACGCCGAAATCTGGGGAGCTCCAAAGGGTAACAACACCAATCAGAACCAACCCAACTTGGCCAGTCAGTTCAAAGGCATGCAGATTGACCACGGCGGCAAAGGTGGTGGTCCCGGTAATGGCGCTGGAAACAATAACAAAGGCCAGAACCAGAAGGGAGGTCCTGGTGGCGGTGGCGGAGGAGGAGGAGGCGGTGGTGGTGGAGGAGGAGGCGGAGTAGGGCCACCGAAGATGATGCTTCCACAGTTAACTCCACAACAGATGCAACAGCTAACTCCTCAGCAGCTGCAGCAGTTTCAGCAGCTTCAACAGCTACAGCAGATGAAAGGGTTTCAAGATATGAAGCTTCCTCCTCAGCTTAAGGGTCCGGGTCCAGGTCCAGGTCCAGGTCCTGGCTCTGTTCCTGGGAATAAGAATCCTCAGAATCCTAATCAGAAGGCTGTGAAGTTCGATATTCCTGATGATGACGACGAGGACGATTTCAGTGATGACGAATTCGATGATGAGTTTGATGATGACGAGTTTGATGACGATTTGGAGGATGATGAGTTTGACGACCACCCTCCTCCGCCTAACAAGATGAAGCCTATGATGGGTGGTGGTGGTGGTGGTGGTAACATGATCATGCCTAACAACATGATGCCTAACATGATGATGCCTAACGCTCAGCAGATTTTGAACGCTCATAAAAACGGCGGTGGTCCTGGACCCGCCGGTGGTAAAGTAATGGGTAAAGGAGGTCCCGGTGGTGCTCCTTTTCCTGGTCAGATTATTGGCGGCGGTGGAGGCAACGGTGGTAAGAAGGGAGGTCCCGGTGGAGGCGGCGGCGGTAATCCGGGGAATCCAAACCAAGGCGGAGGGAAGAATGGCGGTAAAGGAGGTGGTGGTGGACACCAGTTAGATGGAAAAAACGGAGGAGGCGGTGGCGGTCCTAAAGGAGGTGGCGGAGGCCAGATGATCGGCGGTCCCAACGGTGGCAAAAAGGGAAACGATGGTGGCGGCGGCGGAGGAGGACCCATGAGTGGAGGACTCCCGCCTGGCTTCCGTCAAATGGGAGGCGGCAATGGCGGAGGCGGAGGACCTCCGACGATGAGTATGCCAATGGGTGGTGGTCAAATGGGTAATCTACCACAAATGGGAGGTGGTCCAGGTCCTATGGGTAATAATAATATGCAGGCCGTTCAGGGATTACCCGCAATGGGTCCAGGTGGTGGTCCATCACCAGCAGGATATTTACAAGGCCCCGGCGGTGGTGGTGGCGGAGGCGGAGGCGGCCAAGACTCAATGCCGGGAAATCCTTACTTACAACAGCAGCAACAACAACAATATTTAGCGGCGGTTATGAACCAGCAACGAGCCATGGGCAACGAGCGGTTCCAGCCGATGATGTACGCTCGACCACCGCCTGCTGTCAACTATATGCCGGCTCAACCGCACCAACAACCTTACCCGTATCCGTATCCATACCCGTACCCGACCAACGGTGGTGATGATCAGTATTCTCACTACTTCAATGATGAGAACACATCAAGCTGCAGTATTATGTGAGCAAACCCAATAAAAAACAGAACTTTCCATTAGTTTGTGTATCTGTGATTATACATGGAAATGGGTTTTTTTCTTTTTTCTTCTTAATTATTGAGGGTTCTTATAATCCTTTTTTTTTTCCTCCAACGGATCAAATCCTAAGTTATATTAGGGTTTTTTTCTTTCAATTTGTGATAGTTCTTAAGTAATCTTATAGAATCATAATATAAAATCAAACGAATATTTTTATATTGCATTTCTTGTTTTTTTCTCTGGGTTCTTACTTTCTCAGTGAGATCCTAGTGTTGATATGTTGTTTATATGTTCCAGAAAAATATATTAAAATAAAGCCACAATGGAATGCGTTTTCTCTTATGTAATGTTCTGTGACTCGTGATACATGACCCTTTATTCTTATAAAGGATAAGAATATACACAATTGCAATGAACAAGTTTGGTAGATACTAAGATACCAAAACCCTTGAGAAAATAAAATCCGACTGCGATTAGTGATTTTGACACTTTTTGATTCAGTAAACTCTTTTAGAACAAAATTGAGAAACGTTAATTAACTGTTTATTTTCTTTTTCGTACTGGACAAAAATAATGGAGTAATGGAATTGGGATTGTGTCCCACCCACTATTATTTTAGATCATTTTGTCCAATTTGGTTTTGGCTTTAGCTTGTTACTTTTATTATTAGGTTTGAATAGATTTATAAAAGGGGGAAAAAAAAGAGATTACAAAGCCTAAAGTAAACAGATCAGTTGTATATTTGAATAAAATAAAAATAAAGGAGACAATCAGAAACGCTGAATGTGAGGATGGCAACATTTGCTTTTCAAGACTAGCTGTTACATGCACTTTGCAAGTTTGGCCTCCAGCGATCTGCAATCAATGATATAGTACATTGATCGTTTATCACATCACAGCGGTTGCGAACTTGCGTTGCAGTCTTATAGGCTCTTAGCGTTTGGGAAACGGTGACGTTGATTTAGTGTAGTAAAAACCAGCCAATGAGTGACTGATTACTGATCAGGCCGGTTTAATTCTTGTAAGCTGCGAATGAAAAACAACATATGATGATCATCGCCATCATAATAATGAATGATCAAGATGACGATGATAGAGGATGAGTGGGACCCATGAGAGTGAAATTAAAATGGATGCTTGCGGCAGCTATTTGTTTTTCGCGTCACAGACTCGGTACTCAGTACACGTTTCTTCTCCTTCTTCTTCTTATGCTTTTTAAGAAAAAAGTTAAGTTTAAATGTTTTTATTACATAACCTACACACAAACTTATAAAAGAAGCTCTTTGGATTCGTCCAGATTTTGCTTCTTTCATACGTATTCTGCTTTTTTTTTATTTCGTTACTCTCTTTTATTATTGCATCGGAAATATTCAAAAGTTCTTGTACTATACGGCGATTGCATTAACTATAATTGGGATAACAAATTTAAAAGAAAAGGTAAATAAAAAAATAGAAAAACAAATGTTTGGATTCTAAAAAAAATAATGTTGAAATGAGAAGACAGGTTAAGGCTCATAGGCTGCTCGAGGTCGGACACTTGTTCATGCCTTGTTTGTTTGCAGCTCCAACGCTATCCTCACGGAGAATTACTAGTTTTACTACTCCGTAAAACTGCGTGTTACTGCTTTACCAATTTACAAACCCGTTACAGTATTGGGGATTATTGACATTTGACAAATCAATCTTTCTTTTTCCCTTGTTTTCTTTTGGGGCCCCATAGTTTCTTTTTATTTTGTCCGTTTCATGTTGTATTTCATTTCATAGTCATATGGCCAAAATCCAAAAAGTGAATATCCAGTTGTTCATATATTACAATATAAACACATCTTTAAGAGGAAACGAATTAGTAACCTAACTAAGAGATTATTACGGTAACAAACACTTTTTTGATTAAAGTATTGTGGAAGCATACGGTGTTTTACTTACTCTCTCTTGAATATACTATAAATGTTCTGTTTTCGCAATAACTTTGAAAAAGTGGTTTTACATAATTAAAGTCATAAATAGGAGCTAAACTGGTTCAGCTTCTGGTACAAGCTGATCTTATAGTAGTCAGATAATTCAGAACTAGTCCAATGAGACAGTGCCAAGTCATCAAAGTTGAATTATTGGAGCGATTTATAACGTCTGCATCACAGCCGTCCGATTGGAGAAGCACTCTCAGGCTCACATAGATGGCGCCAGATGAAAAAAAGCTCGGCTGTCGAGGAGACGCGTGAGGGGCCCACAGTGGCTCCTTTCTCTCCCTGTTTGCTCGCCGGTTACGAAACCGCGCGAACGACGAATGATGACGTGATGTTCTGGCTAACGCCGTTAGTATGCCATAATTGTCATGTCACATATAAAGCATATATTAGGACATTTTTTTCATTTTTATAAAATGTTTACAAAAAATGGGGCCACGTAATTATAAAGTTGGTATGCTTCATAATTACAATCAGAGGAGAAAAAGAAAAGAGATAGAAGAAAAGGAGCTTTATGAATTAACGCAAATGTTCCCTATTCGTACCATGAAAACCTGCAGACCAATCGAATTGCGGGCACTAGCCGATTCACCTATTCGTTACGTATATATTTCCCTTTTAATTATCTTAGTGTAGAGTCTAGGGTTTTTTTTTCTTCCTAATTTACATAGATCCCACAATTTAATAATCTAACCAAAACTTTCATTTTTGTTAAAGCTAACCAAAACTTTCATGTGAAATCTAAACAAGTTGAAGCAATTTTGCCACCACCACCAAGTACCTATTTATCATTGTAATCATATAATTATATTGAAACTTTTTGACATGCATATATGATCATCATTGTCCTTCATTCCTTTGTGATATAGTATGATGTATAGAGATGATAGATAGAATGTATATGATGATGTATTTTGAGATGATAAAAAGGACATGCAATAATTTATTTAATCTGGTGCTGGCATTAAAATACAGAGATGGATGTGACAGAAACAGAAAGAGCGTGTGTGATATTGAGAGCCCCGAAAAGAGATTATTGGAGAAAGAAGTGAGCACATGGAGAGGCTTGTTTGTGTTTCCGATGATGTAAGAAGGAATATTGCAAACCAACAAAAGTCAATTCTGTCTTATTTGGAACTCGATCATCTGAATCGTTTACACTACAAATCAATCGGAACACTCAGAAATATACGGGAAAATGAGTTATTTCACTGTTTTTGTTTGTAAAACAATTATATTTCAGGACATTCTAACACAGAATGATTCAAATCACTCATGAATCGGTTTAACATAAGACAATGATGATATATAGTACATATCTACTACATGAGCGTCAATATTTCGGATCCCTTGAAACATATATATGTTCGGACGAAATTAACACTAATTAATATGGATAACTGTACACAAAATATTTGTGATACACAACTCAAAAAGTTTAAATCACAACTTTTTTTTATAAACGACATACATATTTCTTGCAACATCGTTTATTTATAAAAACACACATTTTAATCATAATGGTACAAAGTAATAGTAGAAAGTTATTAACATTAGTCTGAGTGTGATCAGAATTTGTTCTAGTTGTATATGTTTAACACAAAGAAGAACATAGATGGAATTAGAACTCCTGCAAGTTGGATTTGTAAAACATTTTTCGTTTTATCTTAATTTCTATAAATTGCAAGAAAGATGAAACATACCTTTTATCTCATCTCTAACTTGTTCTCCTTGACATTTACTCGCATTCATCAATATTCTCTAACCATCCCTAAAATGGTCAATGCATACTTTTGTTGTTATGAACGCACTATAACAATTTTCATATAAACCCTAACAAATTTAAATAAATTTTATTCAGTGAAATAAAAACTAAATTTAGTGCACCCTCCACTTTCTGCTTTTGTATTTTATTTTTCTTCCAGTTACTCATTTAAAAAAAAAAAATTGTTGACAACTTTCTGTGTCTCGTATATGGAAAGCTTTTACTTGCTTACCCCTCCCATGTAAAAGTTGTTAATCTGTTGACTTTCGGAAAGAAAGAAAAAAGACAGAGAAAAATTTAATGGCTCACGTGAAGCTGTTATAAGAAGCAAAGCAGAGACCACTTTGACAAATAACTAAGCAAGTATGCTAAAAGTCTTTGACTATCAAATAATTGAACCACACGCTTTCTCACTGTTTTATACTAATCCCAGTTATATTATTTTGTTAATAGTACTTGCTAAGCAAGTGTTTTCGATTACCAGTTTTTGTGTCTGTATTAGTGTATTGTTTTCTCTTTATTCCCTGCTATTTCCTCAAATAAAATTAAAAATTGCTTTTTAGATATCCTTTGATTATGCAAAATTGCAAATGCATACTGACACTAAAAGCCGAGTAGAAATCACATCCACGAGTTTTCGCTTAACATGGGCTCACAATTCATAGTTTCATATAGCGCAAATCAATAGCAGGAAAAAAGAAATTATAAGTTTCTAACGGCAAAAGAAACTTTGGCCAGTCTCATCAATTACATTCGATATCTCAGTCACTCAGTCGCCTTGCTAATCTACTAATACGAGCAATTTCACTCAAGACTGTACTTCAATTTCTGCGTACACGTAGCGTACTTCATTACTACTCATTAACGTGATCGTCGAGACGCCGACCATAAGCAATGCTATGCATGTATCATGTATGTGTAAGTGGTGTGTTATCCACATCAAACATGTGTATATATAAGAGAAACGAAGGAATCAAAGCATAAGGACACGAACGGGTCACGGGCTTAAAAAAAAATAATACTAGAAATATTCTTTTAAATGCATGTAATAAGATCAAATTATGCAGTGAGATTCTTAGTGGGTCAGTGTGGAGATATAGATAATGCTTATTTGACAACCCAGAATGTTGTAACAGCCTTTTTCTCTTACAAATCATAAATTTCATCTTTCCATACAAGATGCATTCTTTATGTATATTTGTATGTAAATTAATGTATAGTGCACACATTATCAATTATCATATAATCCAAAAAAAAAG